AACTGATACAATTTGCCATCCACTAAACTGTTTCCTATCCCCAAGATAAGTTTGACATGGTGATATTTATTTGACCAAATTATTTTTACCTAACTTCCCATAATAAGCTTTGCTAATACAACAGTCGAGAGTAAGTCTAACATTAATAATGCAGGCTTTGGATTCACCAATGTGTTGACCAACTCAACCATAAGGTCACTCCACAGAGGGCTTTGCACCATATCTGGGGTGGGGTGGGTGAGTGGTGGGGTGCCTGGATGATATAAAAGCTGTAAACTGAGCTGCCTCCACTAGTATTCTGGAATTGGATGAAAAAAGCCTCTTCTAGGGAGAATAATGCTTGCATGCAGCCTAGCCACAAGGCCAGGAGGCAGAGCTGTTGAGTGCGACGGCTGAGACATCAAGCACCAGGGGGAACAGTGAGTGTGTGAGCGGGGGGGTGGGGGGGGGAAGAGTGGGAAAGGACATTTAGTGAGAGCAGGGATGGGGGTAGGGGGGGCAAGTTGGAAAGGAAAGTGAGTAAGAGCGAGGAGGTTAGGGAAACTAAGTGAGACAAAGTATGGAGGGTTCAGGACACCACTGTGATCCCAGGTGCCAAAAACCCTCTGGGTTCTGTTGAGAGGAATAAGTCTTGCTTGTCTCTGCCATAGACCCTGGAGACTACTAAGATTTCTCACTGTATTAATAAACCATGATTCGTGAACCCAGTCTGTCTCTATGTGCATTCAGTGTCAGTCTGGCTCTTGTGGCCTGCAGTCGCAGTGACAATATATAGCAACCTATTTTTAAACAGTGCTATTGTCAATCAGAGAGCCCTTATATACATCTGCGGAATGTAATCTGTTATGCTCGATTTGTTTCTGATATGAAATGTCTCGTTACACTTTTATGATATTCTCAGCAGAATTCTATTTTTTTTAAAAAAAACACAATAAACGTTTTATAATAACTGTTTTTCTTTATAAGTGATCCCTATCAGAGGTGCAGCATTTTGAATTTTTGTTTAGAAGGCTACTAACAGTCTACTCACTTACTGCCTTTCAATTTGCCTAAAATATGATTCATAGCATATTAATAAGTGGTGTAATAACTTTTTTTATTTCACTTTGTCGATCAGCCTGGCTCCGTTGGCAGCCCTCTTGCCTAGGAATCAAAAGGTTGTTGGTTCCAGTACCCCATCAGGGCTTTGAATTCAGTCTAGGCTTATCCTCTAATAGTGCTGTGCTGAGGGAGCACTGCATTGTTGGAGGTCACATCCTTCAGATGAGTATTTAAACTGAGATCCCCACCTCCTTGTTCAAAATTAATGGTAAAGACCCCATGGCACTATTCAAAAGGAGAAGGGAGTGTTTCCTGGTGTCCTGGCCTGCAATTCCCCAAAATAAAATTGGTCATTCACCTCATGGCTGTTTGTGGGACATTGCTATGTGCAAATTGGCTGCTGTGTTCACCTAAAAATACGGTCATTCCACTTTACGGGAAATCCTGTGAAGTCTGCTTTCTGTAAATTCTTTTAAGAACCACGGAAGATGTGTTTCATAGTTAAGGCTGAATTCAAGAATTTTGCCAAATTTTGGAGTTTCTGAAATCCGAGTAAATCTAGATTCGGGTGGAATTTCTACCCATATATCTATCTGGCTTGATTTATACTTTGTCATTGGTGATTTTCTCCCTCAGTAATTCTCATGCATTCACAAAAGCACTTTATGATGTCCTCCAATGTACAAATGTAAATTTGTATTGCAGAATTATATTGAGCATTTCAGTCCAAAAGCTTTTATCTTCTATCCTTCTGGTGCAGTATTCTGATTGAGTTAAAGCAACAGGAGACATAAAATCATGTTCATCCTTATATTGAAGCAATTTTTCTTCTCCTGTCTTTCCTAAATGAGGTTTAGGAGGCCTGTGCTTTCTATTTCAAGTCTTCTCTGCATTTCAATGGCATTGCCTTTCAATGAGTGTGTAATGTGGCCAGTTTCTTTTATTTGCGTTCCAAATCTCATGTGGAATCTGCACAATTGCATACATCTGATAGAGACCTGCTGAGGATTCAGCTTGGACAATAATGCCGAATTAGTAGTTCAATTCAAGAGATTCTCAAAGGACGAACCAAACTAATATAAATATAGAGAAAAGTCAAGGGGGGAATAACTCCTGTTTGTTATTTTGTACCTTTATAACGTGTCACAATTTCCTAGATTATCCTGACAGACTTCTGAGTTATCCTTTCTCACACTCTAGTTTGTTCTTTATCAAATTAGAATTAAAACAAAATGAAAGTATGTTTCACTGTCTTTTCGTCAAGTCCGGACGCAAAGAATGAGATATCAAAACTCCACGTGACATAAAACCTCCAGTATACAATAATAATCACTAAAATGCCTACACACTGTTTGCTTAGTTTGTTGTCTTAAAGGAATAGGTGTCTCTTTATTCAACGTGAAGGTTCAAGGCCAACATCGAGACTTGAACTCATATGGTGTAAGATGACACTCGAATGCAGTGCTAGACGTCTGTTGCATTGTCAGAGGTGTTGTCCTTCAGAGATGTTAACCTGAGGTCCCTTCTGCCTGTTCAGATGGACGTTAAAGATTCCATTGCATCATTTGAAAAGAGAAGGCAGTTTCTCCTTGTATCCTGGCCAACAATCCCTCCAATATATAAAAAATATTACTTGTTTCATGGTTGTACGACAATGCTGTGCACAATTGGGCTGCACAAAAGGGAGTGTGTCCCAAAGATATTGAAATACCCATCTTTTATATGAAAAGGGAATTAATGGAACAGATGGATAATCTGAACAATTTAATTTACCATACCCCTTGTTCCAAAAGATGGATGAATAATGCAGTGTACAGCAGACAATGTTTTGACATGTGGATGTGGCATCAATTTTCTCTCCTCACAGCAAGGCCAAACAAATGATATCTTCCTGTGATACTTTCAACATACTATCTAAACTTTAACTTGATCTATATTCAAATGGCTTCGCGGCATGTGCTAAACAGAACTGAAATTTGACAAGCACTTTGAGATACCCCCCGATGTAAAATCTGCCATACAAATGTATATTGTACTGTATTAATGATATTTGCAATGGAAATGCTTCTTATTTGGACTGATATTTCTATTTTTTTAATACTTTCCAGAATTAGGTAAGCAGGATACGTCCCTCCAGGGAGAGAGAGCGCATTCCATTCCAACAATCTATCTCTGGGATTTCCACGTGTAGGTGGGATGCATGAAATTCTATTTGGTTTGGATACTCTTAATACTCTTAAGCACGGTGATGGGTTAACGTATGTGTCAAGACACTCGGCTGAACCCCCCCAAAAATTGGACTGAAGCGAAAGTCGAACATTTCATTTTAATTTATCACCTCGGTTTAGATGTGACACGTCAGTTTATAGTCTGTTGGATTAGCACCCCATAACAATCACAGTATCTGGACATATCCCAAGCTTTTCCCAATCAAGTGCAGCTACACAGTAGCATGCATCTCTGCCGCCATCTAGTGATGGTGTACAAAAATGCCCAGCAGCGAGAGATGCAGATCCCATTTATATATTTAATATAAATATTATATATATTATATAATATATAAATATTATACAGTCAATACACTTTACAGTTTATTTTGTTAAGTGCTTTGAGGCGTCTAGAAGAGCGTTATATCAAATTCAAGGATTATTACTATTATTATTTTGGATTTTCATTTTATAACTTATTTGTAGTTACAAATCCAACACATACAATAAATGTTTCTGTTTCATAGTCACAAGTTTTCAAATATGCTCAATAAATCAGAGTTTAAGACTAACAACAGAACTTGCAATTGTTTTGCTAGTACGATATTGCAAAACATTTTGGGACAGAGTTCCAGAGAGTAGGTTTGTGGTTGAAAGTTCAGCCAGATAGTGGATGGAGGTGGTGGGGAATGAGCAGTAGATTTAAGTCTGAGGGTATTGATAGATTAGAAATTAAGAGATAAAAGGAATAAAGATGTCCAAGGAATAATAATAGTAATAATAATCCTTGCATTTGATATAGCGCCTTATAACTATCATTTGTATAGTTGTATAACGTGAGGGTCAGGTTGAGGATGTTGAGCTTGATTAAGGGGAATCAGTGGAGCTTAGTGAGGATGGGATAAAGTGAATGTGGAGCCTTGTGTAACGCAGTTTACAGGAAGTAACGTGAGCAGGGCTTTCAACAACAACTTGCAATTATATAGCGCCCTTCACGCATTGGAAGTGCTTAATAGTGGTGGGGTTTGATGCTGAGCCAGAGAGAGAGAGAGGAGGTAGATGACCATAGGCATAGTTAAAAAGGTCTTCAGGATGCAATCTGAAGATAGATAAGGAGGGGACAAAGTGCAGGGATTGAGGGAGAGAGTTCGAGTTTTGGGGGAGGATTGGCTGAAAGCATGGCTGCTGACGAAGGACGTACAGATGATCAGAGCCAGCTGAGCGAAGGGGGCGCATAGAGGAGTGGGTGTCAGCAGGTTGGAGAGGTAGTGAGGTGCTAAGGGATGAAGTGATTTGTACATGAGTGTGAGGATCTTCAGATTGATCCGTTTTGCAATAGGGAATTATTGGAGCCCAGCAAGGACTGGGGTGATGGGGGTTCCAGAGTTTGATATGAGAGAGGATATGGACAGTGGAGCTTTGAATTGATTGGATTTTATGAATGATGTGCATTGTGCAGTGGAGGTGACATCATCAATGTCTCCTGTCCTCAGCACATGTGTGGCCTGATGACCCAGAAGGGGCTATTTTGTAGTGTGAGAAGCAGGATATACATTGGTTTCAGTAATGTAGGCCTATAAGGCACCTACACTATAAGCAGACCCACAATAAATTGGGGCACCTTATAATCGGTTCACCCTGTAGATCTTAGTTAGATATCAGATGCACACTAATTATGGCTTGGGATTATTCAATTGGAAACGCTTGGGGAACATTAATGCTTCAATACCAACTAACAATGTATCAAATTTATATTTCAACTTTATTACAAAAAATATTGAAAGGAACTTTGCATATTCACCTCGATATACAACAGTCAACATTCCAAACTGAATACATTGATGACTAATTTGAACAACTTTAAAAATGGTTATAATGCATTATTAAAAGTGTAGTTTGCATGGATAAAATGAGAAAAACCTGTGCATTTTCAATTTGCGAGTACATTTTATTTAATGTAATTCATTAAAGTAGAAAGCCGATTGTTCTGAGAGCTCTTGCAGACTTGATGGGCCAAATGGCCTCATTCTGCGCTGTAAATTTCTGATTCTAATGATTTACAGAACCACATTGGTGACTAGTGATCAATAAGCAAACAGAGAGGCTCGAAGACAATTCAAATAAGTTTTGATCAATGGTTTTAACTATAAAAGCTCACTGTTTCGCCTTTGGGAAAAAATCTTGCAAAATTTACATAACAACGGCACAGCAAAACTCAGATTTTTTTACTTCCTGTTTCCTCCAGGGAGATTTTATTCTTGGTATTATCATAATTTTGTGCTCCTGGTAGAAAAATGCAAAACAGAAGTGAAAGAAATTTAAGACTGTCATTGCTGGGTCTCTGAACCTCACTACTGAAAAGGCAAGAATGCTGGAAGGCCTTTAAGTCCAAATAAACCCTAAAATTGTGAATACTTGATTTTGGATTGGAAGTAAGAATTAATAATAATAAAAATACTAGGTTGGACACAGTAGTCCCTCTGAGATGATCATCTGTAGCAGAGAAATTCCTTGAGCGACTCTGGGATTGGTAGCCTTGATGCTGAAGTGAAATGGGACCGACCCAAAAATTTCCGGATGTTCAGTCGGCACAACTGCTTCAAGGAGGACGGTCCTACAAAAAACAGTCACAGAGTGAAGTGGAGTCCCATAGCTCAGTGGTTAGAGCACTCGCCTCGCAAACGAGAGAACCTGGGTTTGATTCCCAGTAGGATGCAACGTTGGGCAAGTGTCCTTACTCCACACACCTCTGTTTACCTAGCAGTAAGTAGGAACCCGGTTGTTAGTCGACTAGCGGATCATTTTCCAGGAGTAATAACGCCTTCAAATAAATAAATAAATTGGTCACTCAATCCACGACTGTTTGTGGGACACTGCTGTGCACAATTGGCTGCCACATTTCGCCCAGAATATATACAGTCAATTCACTTTGTCGTATATTCTGTGAAGCACTTTGAGACATCTCGAAGACGTGATAAGGTGCTATATCAAATGCTATATTATAAGACAAGGTGAGTGGTTTTACTTTCAATATTCAGCAAATAAGTAACTTTATTCTAGTGACTAACCCCTACAAGAACTAGTTACAAGCACAAAGAATGAGGAGATTAGTTTCTTTAAATGATAAAGAATGGTTTCTCCAATGATCCGGTGAGTAAGGTTGTCACAAAGCTACGTTAGTTGGTTACATAGAAACAGAAGAAAGCTATTTAGCTAATCAAGCCTGCTCTGGCCTTGTATTAGATTAAGCAGATCTTGTCAACCCTACCAGAACATTCAGAACTTGGGGTTTTATAGCTGAATGAAACCCTGGGTAACAGTCGAAGCATTACTTATTGTATAAAGCATAAAGTAACACAAGCATAAACCAGCAGGTGTCAGTACACCCAGTTATGTGTTTTTTTCCTTTACAGTTCTTAGTGCCACCATTTCTGTTAACTGGAGATGACTTTTTTATTGTACATTTTTGGCACTACTGTGGGAACCAAGTCATTTTTGCTTGTTAAATAGTTCTTTCTTTCCCAGCATTAATCTGATCAAATTCTGATGGTTTAGGTAATTTCTGGAAAGATTTCCTGAGTGGAACTGCGGTTTGCTCTTGTTTGTACTGGTATACTATCCTCCTTAGTGTGGGGTAAACCAAGGTGATGTTCTTGGCAACGAACTGTCGGATTTGAACCAGCTCTCTGTGGGCGTCTTGGTAGTCCAGTTCCTGAGCCAGGAGGATCTGCAGTACTCCAGGGCACTGCTGATGACACCACAGCCAGACTGGCTCATTGGCCTGACCTGGAAGGGCAGACCAGTCACTGGGGCAGGAATTCTTTCATTCAGCTCCTCTTAACCCAAGAAGCTAAAGTTCCAACAGGGTAAGCTAGTCCTACCTGGACAAGCAGTGGGAAAGCTAGCCAGGTAGTAATTTTAATGGCAAGCTGCATGGTTTTAGCTTGTAACACTCCAGCAGTATCCCAGTGCACACTCTGGGGTCCCCAAGCCTTGACTCTTGCCAACCTACGCCCAATACTTTCTGGAATTAGGTAAGCAGGATGCATCCCTCCAGGGTGAGAATGCACATTCCATTCCAACAATCTATCTCTGGGATTTCCATGTGTAGGTGGGATGCATGGAAATCTCAGCTTGGTTTGGATACTGTTAAGCATGGGGATGAGTTTCCAACTGTGTCAGATACCTGGCTGACCAAAAGAAATTGTACTATTATGATCAGTGCTCAACCAAACTATCCACCATCTCCTAAAGCTTCTAATAATTCATCTCTTCCCTGTGTAATCCATATGTTGAAATCAAAGTTCAATGTGTCGCCTACTTAGCTCATTCTCTTTCAGCACTCTGGTTGTCGGGTCACTGATGCATCACTTATAATAATAATAATAAATCTTACATTTAATATAGCGCCTTTCAAAGTGGGAGGGTGTCTCAAATTACTTCACGAGCTTTACTGTCAAGTGTTGTGACTGTATTTTGTAAGCGAATGCGGCAACCAATTTGCACATAGCAATGTCCCATAAACACCCATGAAGTAAATGACCAACTTCAGTGCGTAGGAGTGTTAGCCTATTTTGATACTCCCTTTTCGAATACTGTCATTGGATCTATAACATCCACTTGAACAAGCAGATGGGACCTTGCTTTAATGTCTCATCCAAAGACCTTCACCTCCAACAATGCAACGCAACCCCAGCACGATCCCAGACATTCAGCCTAGACTACATGAGTTCAAATTCCTGATATGTGGCTTGAACCCACTGCCTCTTATATAGGACGCCGCATTATAAGTGGATTTGTGTTCTAGTGAGGCGCTTTACTATGATCATCCTGTATTTCAAAAAAATACTCTGTGATCATAGCCCAACTTAGTATTCCTCAGCATTGTGAGATATAAAACGCTAATGCAGATTATGAGAAGGTATGGAAATGGGAATAAAAGTAATCCTGGGCTCAAAAGATAAAGGCAGGGTAGTGAACTTTAATAGGAATTGTTAGTATTTAGAAAACAAGATAACAATCATGTCTCAAGACAACGATTGAGAAAGGAAACATTCAGTGCACAACAACATAATATGCTCTCAATCAATCACAGTCGGTGAGAATACATTGCACGTGTCATGCAAATAGCATTGATATTTGGAGAAACCAAATACAACAGAACAGTAGCTATAAAGATGACAGGCATTTTTTATATCATGCTTTGCATAGTGTATTATATTTTATGAATGAGGTGTTTTCTAAATGTGAGTCTAGATGGAGTACTGAAGTCATCAGTGAAGCACCCTGATGTTATTTACTTACACTGACCTTGTGGACATGGGCACAACTGAATTTCTTTACTGTTAGCACAAAGATATATATATTATTTTTATATAATAATAATAATAATCCTTGCATTTGATATAGCGCTTTTCACAATTGTAGATTGAAAATGACCAATTTATTATTGTTTTTTGTTTTGGAGGGATTATTATTAGGCGTGTGGAGTAAGGAAACTTGCCCAAGGTTTCGCCCCGCCTGGAATTGAACTCAGGTCTCTCGCTTGCAAAGCAAGTGCTCTAACCACTGAGCTACAGGTCTCCATATATATGTTAAAATTGTGAAGTGTGATGTAAGAGTCAGAGACAAATAGAGTCATAGAAATGAAAGATGGGGAGAAAGTTAGAGAGAAAGAATCAGGGAGAGAATGGCAGAAAGATTATTACCGTGCGGTAGAGTAGTCAAAGGCAACTCCCGATAGATAGTTAGTTAATAATGTGAAGCTCTCCTTCCTTCCATTCTGGGCTTCAAAACAATAATTGAACCCAAAGATTTCTAGACTACCATTGTCCTTAGGATTGAAAAATTATCAAATCTGTCATAAAATATTGCATTATTTTTCACCCCACCAATAACATTACAAATAAAAGTAAACCTGTTAAGGTTCCCACTGCATTCATGGTGAATAAAAGAGCATTCAAGTGTTCTTTTATAATGCAAAACAAATTATTGTGGCATCAATATTATTTAAATGATACTGAAAGCTGCTGCTATGCCTTGTACTCTACGCTTTTAGTTTAAGAATCGAGTAACTCTTTGTCAGTACCTTCCCACTGTAAAAGCAATTTTTCTAGAGAGCTGTTCGGAGATGCAAGTTCCACAGGTCGTTTCCCGTCAGCATTCCTGGAGTCAATCCGTGCTCCGTGTTCCAGCAGTATGGTGGCCAGTTCCATATTTGAGCTCTTGGCTGCCACGTGAAGAGGAGATTCGAGATTTTTGGCAGTGTTAACGTTGGAGCCTGAACAAAAGAAGAAAATGTATTAAAATGTGTTTTTTTTTTAATCTGCTACTAAATGATGGGTTATGATGGCAATGATGACTCCCCTAGAAAATCTTTTGCAATTGGTATTTTGAAAGCTGTTATACTGAAAGCCACATAAGTCCCACAAGCAGAAAGCGGTTACATAGACCTGGAGGTGACCTCTCAGTTTAATCCTCCTACCTCGGTTGCTTATGTATTATCACTTCTGGTCCAGTCTGAAGGAAGGAAGAAAAAACAGCCATCATCAGGCTTGCCGTACGCAGGCTGTGGAATTCGGGCAGCAGCAATAGAAGAATGTGGACCAACCTGGAGGAGCATGCACATGGAGAAGCAGGCAAGAGAAAGAGAACTTAAGAGGAGAAAGGAAAGAGGGGAAATATCTATTATAACGCAGATTATAATGTACAATAGGCTGCAAATTAAACACATGCTTGAAAAATGAGGCCAGGTGATGCAATAATAATGACTAGTCCATAGGGATGACATCCTGAGGATCATAATAAATCAAGACATCGAATGGCCAAGTTTTTCAATGATGTGTTAACCAGCGCATCACAGTGCTGTCTTGTTATCAGGATAGGTAGAGTCCACAGCAGAGTCAATGGGGAAGCAGTAAGTTCTTGATCTTGGCAGTACTCTCGGGGGGGCATCCACACAAAGCCTGATGCTTCCTACAAAAAACAGATCTTAAACTTATGGCTAAATATTTTCTACTTTATTTCTGGTTTAAACCTCTGAAATGCTACATTAATAGAGTAAACCTACAGCCGAGTGGAATTTCTCCCGACGTGAAAGGTGCTATACAAATATGATTTACTGGTGTTGTTATCTACCATGCAGGTGGTCATTGTAATAATCCTTGTATTTGATATGGCGCCCACCACGTCCAGAGTATGTATCAAAGAACTTCACAGAATTTACTGCGAGGGACAATGACTGCATTCTGTAGGCGAACTTTGGGGTGAAACATGGGAATTGTAAAATTCCCGTGATGTTTTGTCATGATTTTAGCGTCCCTGCATCACAATGCCTTGAATTTTACATTGGCAACTCGACTACTCTTGTCAACTTTGATGATGTCTTGCACTACGGCCTTGGTTCTTCACCTGTATTTTCCTAAGTCACAAACCTTACCTTCAAAAGGGGATTGAGGAGAAGGGTGACACGGATAGTTCCAGGACTTAAGGTTCCAAGTTAAGAAAGGAGACTCATAACAGGGAAGGGTTTTCACTTGAGAAACAAATTGAGACCTGACACAATCCAGATTCTTAAATGACTGAGAAGCACAGGAAACAGATATAAAGCAGGCAGTTCTACCTTTAACTCTGAATGCAGAAAGAGAGAATACTAATAAAAAGGTTGTCTTTCTTCTGCCACCCACTTCACACACACACAGATAAATATTGTGCAGAATAGACGCCTAGAAAAATCAGCTATGCTGTGATGACTATGCCTTTTACAAAGAGCTAGATTTGGCTAGGAATGAGGTTGAAGGGTGAATGGATAACAACGACAACAAGATTACATTTGTATTGCGCCTTTCATGTTGGGAGGATGTCCCAAAGCGCTGGACAGTGTACAGCATTTCAGACCCGAGCTGGGGTCAGTGGGGGAGAAGGGAGGGGAGGGGAAGGGGGGTGACTGATGGCATGGTTGAAGAGGAGAGTTTTGAGGCAGGACTTGAAGGAGGCTAAGGAAGGGGTGAGGCGGAGTGACTGGGGGATGGAATTCCAGATATTGGGGGCAGAGTGGCTGAAGGCTCTCCCACCAATGGTGGGGCGGGTGGGTTGGGGGACGTGGAGCAGGCCAGAGCCGGCTGAGCAGAGGGCCCGGGCGGGTTGGTTGGGGGTTAGGAGGTCGCAGAGGTAGGGTGGGGCAAGGCCATGGAGGGCTTTGTAGTTGAGGACCAGGATCTTGAACTGGATCCTCTGAAGGATAGGGAGCCAATGACTGGCTATATAACTATAGTCAAAGACTGGCTGGAACAGAATTGTTGCTGGGTTGGTGGGTCTGAGGACATATCAAATAACCGTTGAGTGATGAATAATGTAGGTTGTAATTTTAAACAGATATTTCACTGAATTACCTGTGGAGGGCAGGAAGGGAATGCAAAACGTTCCCTCGAAAATGAAATAAAATTGGGTAGAGCCTGTGATAGAGCAGATGGAACTATGGAGGAAATGCACTTGATGGGCTGAATGAATGACCTTTTCTCACCCCCAAACTACTAAAATTTCCTACAGAAGCATAATCACTAAACCTCCCAGTGACTCAGTGTGCAAGGTTTCAATGTGATAAGGCAACATAGGCAAGTATTATCATTATTTATGCCATGTATGCAAAGATGGATTATTTTGATCAGGATAATGTGTCAACGAGAAACATTATTAGCCAACTTTAGTTATCTGAGAACACAGAGGATAATAGCTGCATGGGTTATCATCAAAATGATTCATTTAAAAAAACAGCTTGATGCTGTAATGGGAATCTGATAGTGTTTGTTTCTGAAGAATAAGATCGAATGGGTTAAAGGGCCTTCTTCATCCAAACCTCTCTTGTGAACTTTCATGAATAATGCAGAATAGTCGGAGTTCTGGGAAATAAAATGTTTAGAGGTGCTTCGATTGCCGGAATAGAATACCCTATAAGAAGGTGTAGAGTAGGGGAGCCAGCATCAGCACAGATACTACCAGTCGAATGGCCGACTTTAATGCCCTAAATGTTCTAGGATTAAGGAGAGATTACTTACCTAAGGCTAGCAGTTTTTTCACAGAATCCATCCGTTGGTTTTCACAGGCTACATAAAACGGCGTCCCCATATATTTGTTGTTGCATTCAATCTCCATTCCATGATTCAGCAGCATTTCTACGCACCCTGTGTGGCCTGGAATATTTGGAAGGTCAGTATTGCACTAGATAGGATTACATACTGTACAGCTCTGAAACAAACTGTTTTTATACTCCACATGAGCCTCCATCCATATGAATCCCTATCATTTTTACTTGAATGAAATATCAAAAGTTCAAAGCAATGGAATAGAACTATTTTAATCTGTATTTTCAATATTTGAGGACATTTGATACAAATACATACTGCTGGTGACCTGTCACTACTAAGTTTTTACAGTTGCAAATTTGATCTTATCTCTTCCACTCAATCATTCCCCTAAACACAGGAAAGAGTCACACACAATGAAAATACAACAATACACAAGTATAGAGAGCATGAGTGACTTGGAGCGAAGGGTAAGTGAGTGTGACAATGGGAAAGAGCAAATGAGACAATTTGGAAGACATAGAGAGGGAAAGACTTAGCGAAAGATTAACAAGAGAGAGACGGACAGAGTGCAAGACAGAGAGAGAACAAGTCAACGGGCAGATGAGATAAAGAGGACAGAAAGTGAGGGAAGGAAAGGTACAAAGTGACCCCACCACCACACCTGACCAGGAGCATTGAGACCATACTGCAGAACCTCCATTGCTATCCTGATATTAGTTAATTTAGCACAGACTAGGGATTAAGTCTGGGACTGCCTCCAGTCCTTGGGGGCTCGGTTTCAATAAACTTTGCACATCTGGCGTTACAAGCTGCCAAATGTGCTTTCTTATCTCTTACCTCTTTTTGCCGCTTCATGTATAGGTGATGCCAAGTCGCATTCTTCCAGAGGCTTGGCTCCGTTTTGTAAGAGGACCTTTACACAGTCTGCACTGCCACTGCAGCAGGCATTGTAGAGTGGCGTCTTCCAGTCAATTGTTACTTCATTCACCTTCAAAGGACAACAAGTAGAATGCTTGAGTGATTTGAGACTCAAGATAACAAGTTTACTTGCACTGATCAAACAGAAGCTCTGTCTGGCTTTGAGGACATGGATAGGGAGAAGAGAAGAATGAGCATTTGATTCTATTACAGGCTGAACATATTGAGGTAATTATGATACCAATAACCACAGCCTCAGTGTACTGTAATGTACGTTTCAGTTTGACCTCTTTCCCACCTACAGCATACAGATATCTCAGCCTTCTCCGTGTGGTTGGCAATGTGATTTGTTAACTTTAAACTTGGCGCAATCAACATTAAAACATAATAATAGTAATCCTTACAAAAAGCAATAATGAATCTGCACAAGGTCAAGAAAGTATCAAATAATATTGGATAAATACATCAGGAGTACCCGCGGCCAAGGTTCACACAGGCCAATACTCGTGCCTTTGGAGAGTGTCAGTCACTGGAACTCTCTCTGTTCTATGCAGAAGTCCACACATAGGGTGAACTGAGCCAGGATTGTTACAGCATCCAAGGTATTCAAGTACAATTTCTTCCAAAGTTTCATGTGCCTCTGGCAACCACCAGTTAAGCATCTCAGTATAATTGCCTCTTGTTACACCCTGACCCTGTGGCACTTACTATGCAAATAAGTCACTCCCTCACTCCCTCCCTTCCCTCCCCTCACCCTGACCATTTCCCCCCTCCTTGCTCCCTCCCTTCCCTCCCCTCACCCTGACCATTTCCCCCTGCTCGGGTCATGACCCAACTGTGCAGCGCCTTGGGACGTCCTCCTGACGTGAAAGGCGCTTTATAAATGGAATCTTGTTGTTGTTGTTGTTGTAAGTAATAAATTCACCCTTCTGATTTGTTTTGTGTTGGCTATTGAACTGTGTAAACCTCACACTTTATCAAGACAGCAAGACTTTGTTTTGGGTGCTTTGATTCCTTTCTTATCATTTAATTGACTAATTAGTAGCTCTAGACTGTGGGATTTGGCTCGGTTGGTAGCATTCTCAACTCTGAGTCAGAAGGTTGTGATTTCAAGCCCCACGTCAGCCTTGAACCCACAGTCTTAAGATGACCCTCCAATGCAGTGCTGGGAGTTTGTTTCATTGTCAGAGGTGCTGAACTTCGGACGAGATATTAAACCGAGGTCCTGTCTGCTTGTTCAGGTGGATGGTAAAGATCCTGTGGTACTATTAAAAAAAAGGGAGTTTTTCCCAGTGTCCTGGCCATCAATCCCCCAAATAAAAAAAGTCATTTGTTTCATGGCTGGTTGCAGGACACTGATGTGCCCAATTTGGCTGCCACCCTTGCCTACAAATACTCAGCTTCCAGTAAATCCTATGAATCTATTTGAGGCATCCTCCTGACGTAAAAGGTAACCTAACAAATGCAAGGAGTAGGATTATTATTAATTACAATCTAGCAAGTTATTGTTGTAATACACCAGTGAGTGGGCCCTTTAAGCTCCAGCCAGGCTGCACAGAAGTGAATGTGCCCAGAGAATAATTATGAATTTAGTGTGTCTAGTAATTATTGTTTCTTTTTACCTTAGCTCCATGCTCTAGCAAATACTTTGCACAGGAAGCATGTCTCCCGAGGCAGGCTTCGTGAAGGGGCGTGACCCGGTTCATTGTGAGGAGATTTACTCTTTGACCCTGAAAGACAAAGCACATGATCAGGGAAGCCATGATCTACAGAGCATCCACAAAGACCTGTTCCCATCACGTTGTTTTTCTACAGTGCACTGACCAACAGCTGAAACCTCTGGAAGAATGATGCTATTGTATAGTACTTAATTGTATTCAGTACAAGTGTTTAATTGTATTTAAACTTCCAGAGGGTTGATGTGAGCGCCATCATTTTCATGGCAGATAATGATCCATGTTCGGTGCGACATCTTCTGTAACATGATGGAGTGACGAGGCAAAATCCATCGCTGACAGATGAAGACAGTAACAATTTAAAGAGAAAGATAATCTCTCTTTGAGTCGAAATTGCAAGATCAGAATTCCAAGATTTTTAAGCACATTCTGTTCCTTAATTATTGGCAGCAATAACCAAAGAACATTTTATCAACTGGAAACTGTCTCTAACGACAGGTTGAAGATTGAACAAAACCCTGAATACAGGACAATGGTTTCTTGCTCCAGATTCCTTCTGAATTGTAATGTGACCATCAATGGTTTTAACCCAGCAAAAGCCAACCTTTGATTTATAGCCACTGCATTTTTAAGTTTAGAATCAGTGCTATTTGATGAAGGAGCGTGCAATTTGCTCTCTACGCCACTCACAAAACAAAGGCTAGGCCTTCAGATATGCACAGTGCATCTAACCTTATGCAAGCAGCAAATACCCGTGTGCATTACTTGTGGACAGACAATGGCCCCAGTTCACCCAGATGTTCCCAATATTTGCTACACACACTTTTAGAAAATAGCAACAAATAGCATTTATACACCGCCTTTCTCGTCAGGAGGATGTCCCAAGTCGCTGGACAGTAAAGAGTTTGCAATGGGTGTATGGATGCTGGCTACAGATTTAGCTCATCTGTGATGCCCACGTAGTCCAATAGTCTACAGCACATTCATGAAAAATGGGGCAACTAGACAAGGTAGCAAGGTACCAAAGGACACTGTGACACGCATCCAGACCACATCAGCCTTCTAAAGAGGAGTGGAAAAAAAAATAATTTGGGGGGGGAGGGTGCGGGGGGGAAACAATAAATAAGCAATAAATCTGGATTTTGTAAATGTAATATAAAATCTTATAGGAATAACTACAGGAGATTGGGAAAAGGGATGGGAAATAGGACTGAAAAGATTGCTCTTCAAAAGAATCAACACAAATATGATGGGCCGATTGGCCTTCTTTTGTGCTGGTAACTTTTTATGGTTCTGTAGTGGTCTGGAAAAGGTAAATTGTAGCACTGCCATTCTCATTTCCAGCCACTAGAGGGAAGTACCACAATAGCAGTATTTACCAGGAAATTGTAATCTCACCAAACACAGCTATTTGGCGGGGGATTGAGTAAAATAGTAATAACAATACTCCTTGTAATTTGATATAATACCTATTATTGTCAAAAAATCTTAAAGTGCTTAATAGTTATTCCTGACAGATGTCGTGACTGTAAACTCATCTCGGAGTCAGAAGATTGTGGGTTTAATAATCCTTGCAATTAGTATAGCGCCTTTCACGCCTCAAAGAGCGTCATCTGACTGTTATGTGAAGTGACTTTATTTGTGGGTAAATCGGCAGCACAATTGCACCACAGCAATGTCCCAAAGCAGCCATGAAACACCAATTTTATTTCGGATTGTTGGGAGAAAACACTGGTTCTCTTTTTGAAAAGTGCCATGAGATCTTTAACATCCACCTGAACAGGCAGACAGGACCTTAGTTTAATGTGTTAACTGAAGGCTAGCGTCAATTACAGCATGTCTCCAATACGTTTCACCTACAAAGTACAGTTATGACTGTTTCATCATAAATCCTGTGAAGTGCCTTTAGGTGTCTTCCTTACACAAAAGGCGGTATATCAAATTCAAGGGTTGTCTATTACTATTTTTGTGGAAAATTCGGAAGTCGATTCTTTTTAAGAACCTTGGAAACCTGACTAAAACATTAAGCCTGAAATTTAAGAATGACAAGCTGAGACAAGAGAGAACTTCAGGTGTCAGTTTGTTGGTGAGTCATATGCCAGATGAGCTGGTAACAAGGAGAGTAGTGACTGATTGGAGCTCATGACAACCTATCTAATTTAGATGCAATATTCTGTCGCAGAATGGATGGATTTCAAAATACTTACATTCACCGACAAATCACTTCATGCTTTGGCACCTCCTACTGCTCACACCCCACTCCTCTGCCCACCTACTTCGCTCGTTTGGCTCTGCATGCCTCTTGACCCCTTGGCTCCACCATTGGCAGCCATGCTTTTAGCCTCTGGAACTTCCTGACTCAATCCTTCGGCCTTGCCCCCTCCCACCACACCTTTCCTCTTTGCCCGTGCCTATGGTCAGCTCCCCTTTCTCCCAGCTCACCGTCAAACTAAGCCGTCGTTAATCGCTCCGTGAGACTATCCCGTGAAAGATGCCACATAAACGCAAGTTGTTGGTGTTGTTCCTGTTCACTTAAAATAGGGGTGCGGGAGAGGGGGGAAGAAGGGAGAAAAGAAAAAGTGAAATAAAAATTGGAATCCAATTAGAAAAATACTTTGGAGACCATTTGCCAAGAATTTCTGACAAAATACTGGAACTCTGGTACCTGTCTGATCAGCTGTTGCAATGAGAGCAGATTTCCGTGAATGGCAGCGTCATGTAGTGCAGACCAATCGGACGCATCATCTGAAATCAAAAGCAGAGATTTAACATATCTGGAGCCGAGGTGGCAATAAATATAAACAAGTCAAAACTCATCACATTGTATGTGACAAAGCATTCCTTGTGTCAATGTGAGTAGAGCAGCTCAAAAACTGATAACAGAACTGATGACAGAACAGGCAGTTTCTCTCACAAATCTGGATGAAGAAGGCCCTTCAGCCCATCCAAAATCATCCCTCCAGAAAACCCACTCTACCACCTGAATCAAGCTGATTTTCAAATGAGTCCAGTATCCTGGCCTCTACAACCTTTCCTGGCAACTGGTTCCAGTCATTAATTACTCTCTGCATAAAGAAAAAATACTCTCTGTGTAATGTTCGTGGTCGTTGCCACGATCCTGCTTGTGTCTATTGTTGGATCAGCACACCTCACCTTGCCCTTCCTTTGCTTTGCCTCACCTTGTCTTACAGCTGTGTTATCTCACCTCACTACTCCCTCACATCAACTCAACTCTCCTTTGCCTCTTCAGGTTCCTAGGTCTTTATTGCCCACAAGACAATACTCCCCCTGTTATTCCTCTATTACTACTGCCTTGTATCTTGGACTGATGGATAGTCAACACTCCTCCCCCATCGTAAAAGTGCCATTTTTTGTGGAACTCACTAAACAGAAACAGTGCTCCAAGATTGTGTTTCCCTGCCCAACCGATATGACAGATTTCAGGTGAACTCGGGATGGGGGTGGGGGGGGGTGAGCGGGGGATGATGACAATCTTAATCCTCACATTTGATACAGCATCTTTTGCATTGAAAGGACGTCTCAAAGCACTTCACACGATTTACAGTAAAGTGTAGTAACTAGTTGACAAAATAATGAAATGTCGCATTTTACAATGCATTAATTAACACATTAAGTCTGGGATTAAAACATAGACAAATAACTGATCGTCAACAAGTCCATCCTCAGATCTGTTTGATAAGGTAGTCAAATGCAGCTCTTCCCCCACATCCACCACCCTGAACAACCCCATCACCACATTTAACCCAACTTCAAAAGCACCTTCTGACCAGCCTGTCAGCCGAGTCGACAGCAAGTGCTGCAAAGTTTAAAACTCAACTCCAAGGAGTGTTTTCCATTAAGAAGAAGTGATTTGCATCAAAGAGCAGACATAGCAGAAAAGGGGCTCTGGGTGGGTTGTGTGCTCTCCATATGCCCTGCTACTTAAGCGTTCCGTGTGAAGGGCACTATATAAACCCAAGTTGATGTAAGTTGTTGGATTGGGGTACAGCTCTCTGCACTGCATTAAAACTACAAGTTGGATCAGAAAACCAGCAGAGCAAAAAAAAAACTCAGTGAACAAGTATTTGGAAAAAAGCTTACTGCTCATTAGTGGGTTGGATATGTAGTCCCCGTACAGCCCCCGTCCCCCTGTGGCCTCCGAATGCCTTCCGTCTTCGCTCTCACCAGACATCGCTGATACAGCCAGGAATTCAGTAGAATTTCAAGACGCTCCCTACAGGAAGGAAGGAAGGGAAGAAAGTGCTTGTCAAGCCTGTGCCTCGTGTAAAAGCTTTAAAAGCAAAACTTCTGGGGTGGAAGTCAACGTAGGCATCAAAGAATAAAGAAGTTCATTTTATTTAAACTCTCACGTAAGAACCGGCTAATCTAAGCTGCAGCACCTGGCTGAGCAAGACATTGCAGGCTGTTTATTTGCTTCTGGAGCTCTGCACTTCAGACAAACCCACGTAAACAGCACCGATGTGGCAGAGTGACTGAATTTCCTTTACACACTTAGATTTGGAGAAAAACGCTCCTGGCAATGAAACTTGACAGACAGAGCAGGAAGCCATGTGACCCGATCACTCCGCAGCCACACATCAAAGGGTACAGTAAAAACGAGCCTTGAAACCCGAGCCCTAGAAAAGCAGCCTGAATCACTGCAGGATAAAGCCTGAAATTTCACCTCATCTTAAACTTGCAAGGTTATTTAGTCTTAAAATGAGGATTGCATAGAATGACAGCAAATTCTTCAATCCAGTTTTCATTTGGAATTTGGTTCTTTTTAAGAACTAAGGAATGTCAGCTTCCACATTAAACTGGATGGAAGAATTTTCCACAGTTTTGAGCAATTTTAAATGTTAAGACAAATGGAATTTGAGCCTGTAGTGCCTTTGCTGCGTGCGTACAATGCTTGTTAGAACTTGTGGTTCAGTGGATGTGTCATGGCAGATTCAGCTTTTACCAGAAGCACGAGAAACAATAGCGAGATACACGGGAGGGGTTTGACTTTTACATTTGGGGGCAGCAATCATTTCAGAAAAATCAAGTGTTTGGATGAGGAGTCTGGCTAAGTTGGAATTACAGATAGCCGGAGCTGGGGGTTTACTGAACTGTATAGTCAGTCTCACTATTTTAAAAACTGTTGGGAGGCTTTACCTTGCAGTCTGCAGGTGGATGAACCCAATAAACACTAGCAGCAGAATAACATTGCAGTCCTGATTATAATAATAAAATAATAAAATAATCCTTGCATTTGATATAGCGCTTTTCACGTCGGGAGGACGTCCCAAAGCACTTCACAGAATATACTGTAAAGTGAATTGACTGTATATTTGTGGGCGAACGCGGCAGCCAATTGCGCACAATATGCAAAATATGCGCCTCCAGACATCACCCTGAGTTCGCCCTCGTGCACACGCTCCAGTTCACTGCACAAACACAGAGATGGCGACAGGTGACTGTAGGTTTCGTGTCAGTGCCGAGTGGGAAGAAACACTTAGGTTGTGAAACACAGTGAGTTTAGGGGGGAGCTTAGCTCCTCCAAGCCCTAGTCAAATCCCACCTATGGCTAGACACAAGTCTAGTTAAAAAGTAATTGAATAAATATTTCCTGTGGCTGAGTGAGCAGGAGGGACTCCTGGCAGGACTTAACACATATATTAAAAAAAGCACAGTTACTGTAGCCATTAAATCATAAGGTGAAGAGAATGTTAATTTGAGACACTGGACTGATTTTCCTGTTATTTCAAAAACATGTTGGGAGTAAAAACATTTTAAACTCACTCCACCCAACAGTCTGTTTAACTCAAATCTATACATATAGGTGTAGTCTCACTGTTTCCATGTATAATAGGACACAAGGATATACATACTCCACCATTACAAACTCATTCTGTTTTATTTCTTTAACTAAATGACTGCTTAATTCATCTTTATATGAAAACTTATGAAAAGAACCCATTATGAAAACACTCCCAATGTAATTTATCCCTGGCTCATGATTTATAAATGAAATGCTAGAAAGCTTCCTCTGTCTTCTCCATTACTTTTTGTTAAGTTGCAAAATGCAGGAAAGGAGCCAAGATGTGAAGTGCAATGGCCTGATGTTCAGTTTCCCAAAACCTAAGTTACAGTTTAACCTGCTCCGCTGGCTCATCTGTATACTCGTGTCAGCCTGTCTCAGTTGTTGGCTTGTTACAAGGCTATGGTCAAGTTAAAAAGTAATTGAATATTGAAATATTTTCTTTTGCCCGAGTCAACAAGCAGGATTCCTCTTCAAAAGGTTATGGGTTCAAGCCCCACTATGAACTCACACAGTCTAGCTGACAAGCTAATACAACAACAAGAACAACAACAGAATCACATTTGTATAGACAGTGCTTTGGCTGTGCAGTATTGCCAGATGTGCTGCCTGTTCAGGCGGATGTTAAAGATCCCACCATTCAAAAAAGAAGGGAATTTCTCCTGGTGCCCTGGCCAACAATTCCCCAGCTAAACCTGATTATTCTCGTTCTGGCTGTTTGTGGGACATTGGTGTGTGCAAATTGGTTGCTGCATTATATACAAAATAGTCACTACGCCTTACACTGCTCCTGATGTAAAAGGCACTGTACCAAATGCAAGGATTATTATTATTCATTATTATTATTTTTATTATGTTATTATAGTTTAAATCTGTTTTCAGTGATGGGTCAGCCATACCAGTATTACTGCCACACTGTCCGTTCGGATGGACTTTAAAGAGAAAAAAGGAAGGCATTTGGTCCAAATGTCCTAGCCAACAATCCCCCAGCTAAGATAGATAAACTTTACGTTTTAACTCCTAAAATAGCTACTCTCGTAGGAGGTGAACATTTGATTCACTGGGTATCTTGTCAAGCTATTTCTAAATACACTTACTAACAATCCCAGTTACACGATAATTATAGGAACTATGCTGCGACAGATGTCCACATTCAATTTGAAGATCAATTTATTTTCGGATCATCTCTAGTTCCTTATTTTGTACGCTGTAATCATTTTGAATAGCCACATATATAACACTGCATGTACAATCTTGTTTTTTATGATTATATCTGGTTTCTTACTGTTCTATCTGTATGTACTTGTGAATACCAGATTATTATGATGTTATTTTTTAATGTCATTTTTGCTGGTTGATGTTCATACCAGTTGGTCTTGATGTCAATATCAAAGTGTTTACAAATTGTCCAGTAATTATATTTAGTTACATTGTTATGTCAATTCAGATACTCTGATCGCACTAAGGCTGGACACAAAAACAACAACATGTGGTCTCCTGTTCCTGGTGCTTGATGGCATATTCAGCATTTTGGATGTTTTTCTGCAAAATCTTATTTTCATAATCAAGGTTAGCAATAATGGTGGAACTACAATTCCCAGTATACACTGCAGCCCGAGAGCATGTGCATAAAAACATAATAATAATCCTTGCATTTGATATAGCGCCTTATCGCATCTTTGAGACGTCTCAAAGCGCTTCACAGAATATACTGTAAAGTGAATTGGTGGACCCTATTGTCTGTTTTTGAGAAACTGGAAAGTTGAGAACCCTAACAACACAGGAGAAGGCCATTTGGCTCACTATGCAATGCTGTTTCTCTGAAATCACGATCAGCTTAGTCTGATTTTCCTGCTTGTTTCCCACACCCTTTGATATTTTTCCTTTCCAGAAATTTAGCTAATTTTCTCTCCCAAGAACATATGGCCTCAACCAACCATCCATCCAGCACTGTTTGCCCGATAACATTTTTTTCAGGTTTACTAAATGCAAAAGTGAAATACCAGCCAGGTCTGAGTATTTTCACACGCTTCCAGTGACATACCAAGGTTCTCTTTCTACGAGGAAATGCACATTCTAAGCGTATGATAGTGGTGAACACTTCGGACAAAAGAGCCATTCATTTCAATGGGTTCGCAACACATGTTGCTGGTTTGCTTTCCTGATAAACAAATCCCACTGTATGCAATGGCTTGACCTTGGCGACACTACAAAACACAGTTTATTTTTGCATGTGCAGTACCTGTTTATCCAATATCACAATTCTAACACAGCTTTTAAACAATAATATTGAGAGAAAAACAAAGTTGTCTTACCTTCCCTTGGGAACCACTTCACTGAAGGACCCTATCTTTAAATTGTCCCAGTATGCCTCGCAGCTGTTGTTTTTTGCTGGCTCACTAGATGGCAGATGTACCATCAACCCCATTGTCAATATCATGAGCACAGTGGGAGGCCAGTTAATAATAATAAGAATAATTCTTGCATTTGATATAGCGCCTTATCACATCCTCTGGACGTCTCAAACCGCTTCACCGAATATACTGTAAAGTGAATTGACTGTATTTTTTTTGTGGGCGAAACACGGCAGCCATTTGCGCCCAGCAGTGTCCCACAAACAGTCATGGATTGAGTGACCAATTTATTATTACTTTTTTTTAAGGTATTATTACCCCAGGAAAAGTGATCCACCAATCGACTAACAACCGGGTTCCTACTTGCTGCTCGGTAAACATGTGATTACATTGAAATGGAAAAATAAATGCAATAACTTTGCCTTTATACAGGATCGAACATAGCCTCGCTGGGGAGTTGTAGCAACCCACCTACTGTTTCCAGGTACGATCAGCCAACTCAGCAGCGACCAGAATCAAACTTAGGATCTTCCTGGTCTGCATTGCTAAAGAACGCATCAGGAAGTGCGTTTACCTTTAGGATCCATTCAAAGGTGTAAGCTCGTAGAAAGGTGAAAAACACAAGCTTTCAGTACCCCTGTGATGGGACAGAGGGCTGAGGGAAGCAATACCATTCATGATGTCACAGGAGGCAGCTCAAACTCGCGCCTTAACTCAGTTGGTAGCGAGACTGACATTTGATACTATAATAATAATAATAATAATAATCCTTGCATTTGATATAGCGCTTTTCACATCAGGAGGACGTCCCAAAGCGCTTCACAGAACACACTGTAAAGTGAATTGACTGTATATTTGTGGGCGAACGCGGCAGCCAATTGCGCACAGCAATGTCCCACAAACAGTCGTAGATTGAAAATGACCAATTTATTATTGTTTTTGGTTTTGGAGGGATTATTATTAGGCTCTGTGTGGAGTAAGAAACTTGCCCAAGGTTTCGCCCTCTGCCTGGAATTGAACTCAGGTCTCTCGCTTGCAAAGCAAGTGCTCTAACCACTGAGCTACAGGACTCCACTATGATTATAATTGATGTCTTATTATATGCTTGGTAGTCGTGTCATTGAACCACACAGTCGTTGCGTTTATAATGGAATCCTGGCTCCAGACTGAAGTGAGACCACAGCGAGCAACTCAACTGTGTGATCATAACATTTACGATCATGGCTAAAAATAGCTCAGAATACCTGAAAATATAAAAGAATACTAAGAAGCTGAGACGTTCATGACACGTGGCTCTGGAGGAAAGTCCTCTCTCCTTGCGCATCCCTGAATCAGCTGTTTTTAGAAATAAATACAATAATATTGATTGTCATTTAATGCAAATTTAGGTGCATCGCAGTGTGTTGAGAAAACATTATCCATCATGGGAATTTGCTCTATCTGGCTTATATTCAATAATAGTTCCTTTTAAATCATTACTTTGGGAATTCCTCCGAAATAAAGGACTGTTTGCTGTTCTGAGATGCTATGTGTGTGACTGGCGCTATATGAATGCAAGTTGTAGTTGCTCTACCATTCTGCACTGCAATACTCACTTTGGGAAATACATTGTAACCTTCACTTTGGTCGACATATGTTCAGACAGTTTGAATGGAATCCTGACAACCAATTGTAATCTGGTTGTAATTATCTTTTTTTCATGTATCGTATGTTTTTATTATGACGTTAATATTACAAACAATTCTTGATACCACAATAGGGCAAGAGCTATCAATGGAGTAAAATCCAAATATTGGAGTAAAAATAGTGTATAAAATATTTGAAATAGAATTTTGCATTTGTCTACGCCGAGGAGACTAAAATGCAGGAGTTATAACCTGGATTTGCAAAGGATGCTAATTATCGAATCATACCTTGGTTTCATTTCCTACCCATACTGTACTGGTTATAGAATTCAACTAGTTCTCATCTTGGTTTTAAAGGTAAAGTTATTTGATGTGTCACAATTTTGTTTAAGTTTCAAAAAGAATTGGTGACTGGACTGAGTCAGCCAATTTACTTTAGGATGCATCAAGAAAGTAGATCCAAAGGACATAGGCTTAGAGGTGCAAAGGGTAATTTTAGGACAGATACCAGGAAGTTTTCCATTACTTTAGATGGTAATTAACAATTAGAAAAGGTAGCCAGAAAGAGTGCTTGAGGACAGCTTGCTGGACTCATTTAAGAAACAGCGTGATGCTGTGATGGGAGGAAGAATGAAATCAGAGGTCCCAAAGTGCCTTCTTCATTCAAGCCAATCTTATGATCTCGGCCAGAGCAACACTAAATAAACTAAGTCGACATCAGTGCTTAGGTTAGGAAAGGGGAAAAAAAATCACTGTTCACTATCAATTGATCCCTGCTGGATGGTATGCATGGTATATACAAAGTGAGTACAAATGGTGCTTGCTGTGATGCCCCCCATGCTGTGTATGACCTGCCCAACCCTCGCTCTTAAGGTTCATACTTGAACAATGGCTGCTTCACGAGATACCAAACAGTAACATGTGCTGTGGAACCATACCCCCAGTGGAAAAGTCAAACACCATCAGGAGAGGAGAAGAGAAAATCGAAGTAAAGAAAAAAAAGAGTAACTTTTCATTTTACATTTTTTAATTATGCTTTAAATAATAATAATCCTTGCATTTGATATAGCGCTTTTCACGACGTCTAGATGTCTGAAAGTGCTTCACAGAATAGACTGTAAAGTGAATTAACTATATTTGTGGGCAAAACGCGGCAGCCAATTGCGCACAGCAGCATCCCACAAATAGTCATGGATTGAAATGACCAATTTATTATTGTTTTTTTTCTTGATTATTATCAGGCGTGTGGCATAAGGAAACTTGCCCAAGGTATCGCCCTGCTGGGAGTCGAATCCAGGTCTCTCACTTGCGAGGCGAGTGCTCTAACCACTGAGCTACACCACATTTACATTTTAAATTACATTTTTCTATAAGCCCGCAGGGAAAGAGCTGAAAAATTTGCCACGTAAAGGAGATTACATCAACCCAATTGATCAATGTACTACATGGAGTGTATAATGCATCTAGTAAAGCAACTACTAAAAGGATTCAGAGGATTAATTGTACAACCAGTGCATATAGAGTCACCATTAAAGGCACTCGTTGCCTCTAAAATCCCTGCAGCATCACGTGATGAGACAAGGAATTTTTAAAATCTTGTTGGGAACCACTCCTCAGGCTCGAGTTTGCTACCGGTAAAGAAGAAATTCCGTCATCCTTTCTGGAAGCTCAAGTCTTGATATCATGTGAAGTCTCAGTCTTCCCAAGCACTTCCGTATACGTAGACGGCACAGCTGTGTTAGGAAAGCGGGACCTACAGGAGTCAAAGCAACACAAGGGTCATGGTACATTGGAATTATCCTGATTTGGCTGGATGTCGTGCTCCACCATGTCAAACCCTCTGGGAATCTACTCTATGTGAGGGCCGCTATATAAATGCAAGTTGTTGACTCCAGGATTGAAGTAGAAACCTGTTTTAGGGTGCTACCTTATTTACATCCTGGATTTGCTTACAATACAATATTACATTTGTAAAGTATCTTTCACTTCGGGAGGACGTCCCAAGGTGCTGGACAGACAGAGTTTCGGACCCAAGCTGGGGGGCGGGTTGGGATCAGTGAGGCTGGAGGGTAGGAGAGTGGCTGAAGGCGCGGATGAAGAGGAAGGTCTTGAGACGTGCCTTGAAGCAGGCAAGGTAGGGAGCGAGGCCAATGTGGGATGGAGTTCTAAAGGATGGGGGCAGAGAGGCTGTAGGCCTAACCACAGACTACATTAACTCTTCAACCCATGTACAACTCCAACAAATGTCAGTCCTTTTTTGGGGGTGGGGTGGGGGGGAAGAAATATATAATGTGTTATGTTTTTATAGCACTTGTACCTTCACGGAGTAAGAATGCTTTTTCGACAGCGCTGTTTGCTGTGCTCAGTTCCACAGGCCGTTTTCCTTCCTCATTCTTAGCTTCAGTATCTGCTCCACAGTCTATTAGCAAATGGATTATTTGTGCACTGTTTCTTCTAGCTGCAGCGTGAAGAGGTGAGTCCATATACCTGCCAGTGTCAACACTGGCTCCTGTAGGTGTTGGTGAAGTAGATAAAGGTACATGTCTGACGAGATCCTGAAATATTATTGTGTTATATTGTATTTGCTTCCTTCCCAAAGACTAGCCAAACAAATATTAACTTGTTTTATTGTAATACTTAAATAGATTCAAAGAACCCTTACGATGAGTCACAGCGGGCAGTATGTGATGTGAGGCTCACCTTCAATATGCAGGGTATATTATTCAAGTTTCCCATCTTAATAAATGTTTCCCCCTTTATAGTCATGTACTGTATTTGAAATACAATTCTAACTGAAATGGGTCAAAATTCCAGTATTGCTAGCAGGCTACAATCCATTACTATCGGGGTGGGGGTAGAGAGAGAAACTTAAGAACTGGAAGATGGGATTAATAAAAAGGGCAACAAAATAAACAGATAGCAGTGACCCAGAAAGAACAGAACACACATACGCACGTGAACACACGCATACACACAGACAGTAGTACTGGTAAAAAAAAATACATTACCCAAGACTAAAAGTTTTCTCACGCACTCGGTTTGTTGGAAGTCACAAGCCATGTAAAGTGGTGTGCCTAGATGAGGAACTTCCTGATCAATGTCCACTCCATGGCCCAGGAGGATCTCAAGGCAATCTCTGTGACCTGGTTAAAAGGCAACAAATTATTTCCCTAAAAATATCTACTGATGGCCTTTATCAGAGTCAAGTGTGAAAAACGTTTTTTCACTGTAATAAGTGCATTGGGTTTGCTACAAGTCTAAACCAAACCAAATGAAACTTCACTGTTTTAAGGCCGTCTTAAATTAATTTACTTTTACTTCGGAAATAGGGAGGATCTTCACAATTAGAATTGGTCCAAATATAGTTGATAAGGAATATCCTCCTTATCAATATAATTAATAAAGAGGATATTTATCCCATCACAGAGGAACCTTTAGTCACCTATAAAAACACTATGGATTGTTCACTAAAGGGATATTTGAAGCATAAGACCATGTAGTTCTGAAGGTAACTCTCACTCTCCCTGGTTTATAAAAGCAGGTGTAGTATGTCTCCTCAACAGTGTAGCATAAAACATACTGAATATAGGTTAACCATGAGACAGCATTGCTGTCTTCTCACCTTTACGTACTGCTTCATGAATGGGCGAAGTCAAGTGACATTCCAGCTGTGCTTTGGCTCCATATTGTAGAAGAACAGTGACACATGCAGCACTGCCAATGGAGCAGGCATTAAACAGTGGAGTGATTCCATCAATGGTAATTGCATTTACCTGAGAAAACATGCAAGCAACAGATAGCTGACAGAAAAATGCAGTGTGTTCCTTTGGTTAAACTATTAAACTGTTCCAATGTTCAGGCTATTAAACTACAGACAGAATAAAAATGTGGGTTGGGATGGACTTGTTCTTAAAAATGAGTGACATCCTACTCAGATAATCTCCTAACCTGAGCTCAAAGTTGGAGGGTGTTATGTAACGGCATCCCAAAAGGTTGTATTTACTAGTAAATTCCACACAAGATATCCATTTCATAAATTGTGTTTTTATATAAATAATGATACGAGTTGATCTGGCATCAAGAGATTTACCAGAAATTCTCAATGAAAAAAAGTGTTTCCCTCAAAACTAACGTTTGGTTTATTGTATGGATGACATGGTTCGAAACCAAATACCATTTCTCATCCAAATCCATGAGATGCCAGTGTCAAAATTCAAGCCTTGTTTTTCTTTGCTCCTTTAAGGACAGTTGGAAAAAATGAGACGTGTCTTGATAGGGATACAGGAAAGAAGGAAGTGTTGAATAGGAATGAAGTAAACGAGAATATTAGTGCCTACTCTACATATATGGTACATATCTATGTACTAGTTTCAAAATATATTGTTGTAAGGGGGAAAAAAGCCAGGATGCCGACATATTGTATACATACAGTGATATTGTAGAACATCTCTGATAATGTACCTACCCATGGAGTTTACCTTGATTCTTCTTACCTTAGCCCCGTTCTCAAGTAAAACCTTTACACAAGCAGCATGACCACCAAGGCAGGCTTCGTGGAGAGGAGTAATGCGGTCTATTGTTATTAAGTTTACACTGAATCCCTGGAAAATAATATCAGTGAAGTTAGTAATAGGTCATAATTCATATGCACTCTACATCACAACATCATTATCGAGAGCTGGCTGGAAATAGCTAGTGGCAATTATTTATCCATCTAACTCCTTTTCAGAAGGATGTATTGATATACTCTAGGGAGTCGTGTAAATTGCTGTTTATATCATAATTTTGATCAAATTGAGAAAAATTTTTGTATGAAAAATGCAAATATAAAATCAATAATAAAGATTTTCACATTGGAATTTAGAATTTGATTTGAATTATAAAATAACTACATTCACCAAACAAATCAGTCATAGACCATTTCAACAAAACATGGGAATGCAAATCATATTCATTTCTGAGAAGGACTAGAATGCTTGCAGTGGTTGGAGTAAGGTTTTACCTGGGCAATTAATGCTTTCAGGGACAATTGGCATCCTTGATATGCAGCTTCATGGAGGGGAGACCGGTCAGCCCAAGACCCTGTAGTATAAACATGGTGGAACAGCATTTATTGCACAGTGGAAAGCTCAATGAAATTAATTTTATCTTTTATTTATTCATTGCTCCTAGCTCTTAAAGAGGAACGTTTCCTTTCTATTGTACTTGCTCTTCTTCCTCCCTGTATCCTCAGCATTTTGCCAAATTCTGAGTGTACTATGTAATCTATTTTCTATACTAATAAAACAACAATGTCTATCTGCGCTTCAAGAAGAATCTCAATAACTGATTGACATAGACATGATTTATACCTCATCGGAAAGATCGTGCACTTGGGAGTGACATGGGCATATTTGTTTTTGAGTATCTCTTATTTATGAGTTATTTCAGTTTTGCAATTTTCACTGCAGTGACGCTTGGTGGCCATCGGGTCAAAGTGGTGCTGTGGCATCCTATGTCACAGAGCACGCACGTAGCCAAGCGGAGGGAACAAAATAAATAACAGAGACTAAGCTAAGCTAAAAAATTACATTTTTAAAATGCTGAGTCCTCCCACAGGAGTCTTCCCAGATGAGTATAGATAAAGCTGAAATGTCTGTCTGTGTGTCAATTTACATTCCATATTGGATCCTTTGGTTGAAAGGGTAGCTCTAGCTGGTACAGCTGGTAGTATTATATATATATACACACACACAATATACAATAGTACATTAGATGTTTTGTTCATTGATAACAGTGCCCAATATACTAGATGCTTGCTGCAACCTTCTATATAAAAAAGTGTTGTTATATGATCAAATTTAAAAACAGAATAAAACTCAGTATTTTTTCCAAACTTATTTACTTACTTGTAAACTTAGTAAAGTGACAGGTTGTTTAGAACCCTGTTAGTTGATGATGGGCTGGACGGTGGCTTTTGTTTCTTCCCGGAGGCGGCAACCCTTAATACGGCAGCCAATTTGCACAAGACAATACTTCACAAACAGCCATGAAGTGAATAACCAATTTTATTTGGGCCAAACACAGGCAAAAACTCCTTTGTCTTTCAAATAGTGCCATGAAATCTTTAATGTCCACCTGAACAGGTAGGGGGTACTTCGGTTTCACAACTCATCCAAAAATCAGCACCTCCAACTATGCAACACACCCTCAGCACTGCATTGGAGCATCAGCATAGCCAAGATGGGTTCCAAGTCTCAATGTGGGGTTTCAACCCACAATCTTCTGACTCAGAAACTAGAGTGCTACCAACTGAGCTAGACAGACACCAGAGGAAAATCCAAAGCTACTAAACCCAACATTACAGTGGTATTTGCAAAGCAAGCAGTTCCTGGCTTCACATTCCAATTCTTTCAAATTTGTAAGGCATTAAGGCAAAGGATACAAGTTCATCTTAAAATAGACATCAGAAAGTATTTATTTACACAGCAGGTTATCAATATCTAGAATAGGCTAGCAGGAAGAATGGTTCAGGTCAAGACACTGGGAAGATGGTAGGAAGGCTGTTCTGGAAAGATGAAATTGAATGTGCCAAGGAGACTTTTTCATTCACAATGCTTGTGACCTAATAATGGTTATGTATTGCTTTAATGGTTAATTAACCAATCTCCATTGCACAGTTCATTTAACAGTCTCATGTCTGCAGCTCCAACACTCTTTATTTTGGCGTGAGATTCATGTGAAACTAGTTCTCAGACTGCTCATTTGAGTCACGTGTAGTCAGGCATAATCCAGTACCTCTGACATCTCCAAATGGGTTTTTATTATTTTGCTGCTTCAGGAGTTTGGTAGTTAATGAAAGGTTTGATCAGAAGTCATTAATTTAAAATTCTTTCCAGGTTTCTAAACATTATTGTTCATGAATTATTAAATAGAATTACGCTAAAAGAAATGTATGTACCCATTTATCCTTGTATTCCACTACATATTCCACTAAAAAGGCCAAATATAATTGGGATTTTCCAAGGAAGATTCTGAACCGTCACTAAATCATTTTTCTTTCTTAAACCATTTATTGTGTTTACAGATACATTTTAAGCAAGTGAAATTTGATCAATTGTTCAATCACATAACACAAACAGGCTGCAAAAACTCCAGAGGCTGACAAGTGGCTGAGGCAGTTTTCAAAAAAGACTCCCATAGAGCAGTAAAGTATTAATAGATTGGTCAATAAAAAACAGAACTGTTAAGACATCACACTAAAATTGATTACTAAATACAGAAGGTAAATAGCCAAAAAAGTATACGCCAATCGCACTGTTATTTTTCAGTTTTAAAATGTAATTTCGCCCACAAATATACAGTCAATTCACTTTACAGTATATTCTGTGAACCGCTTTGAGATGCCTCAAAAACTTGATAAGGCACTATATCAAATGCAAGGATTATTACTGAGGAGCCTGAGAGAAAACATACCTTGAGATTAACTTTTCCCTCATAGTGGGGATTGTTTTGGTTTCTTTCATCTGCACTGCCTCTAGGGCATGGGTAGCTCTCTTTGGTCCCACCAGCAGAACTGTACGTAGAACTCCAGATGCCACTTACCCAGACTACTTTTCAGCCTAACTTCTGAATGCCACCAATTTAGTGATATAGTTCTGCATCCAGTCTGTCTTGCTTATTGTTCTGCACAATGTTTGACATGGTGATCAACAAATCAACTAATATCCCTAGTCTTTCAACTTAACTCTTCAATTAAAAGTAGACAAGACAGAGCTATTCTGCTTGGCTACCATAGGCGCTTCTTCATCTCAGGTGCTGACAATAATAATCTACATGGTTGTGCACTTTTGACTCCCAACTTTCCTTCAAACGTCATATCTATGTATGCTCTTACATGATGAGTGTTCCCTCACCTCCATAACATTACTCATCTCTGCCATTACCTCTCTTCCTAGGTCAACGAGACTCTCATCCATATCCATTGGCTACGCTCACGCCCTCTTGACAAGTACTATCCGATCCTTGTAATTGATGCTCTTGTGTCAAGAGGCAGAACCTTTCCCTTGATTTGAAGCTTTCCCCATCTAAAAACCTTTAAGTAGACCGACAGAGAGAGAAAATAATGCATGGATATTTGATGATTCTAAGCACCGCTTATTCACAGTGAATTACATACCTCCTTGAAAGTTATGGCAGATGTGATTTCCGTATAATATGTTCCTCAACCTGTGTGGTAAGCCAGAACTGACTGATAATTCATTTGCTTCCTGTATATTAATGTCAAACTCGCCTTCTTCAAACATGGCTTATACTGCTCTCTCAACCAACGCACTCTGACAACAACATTTGGACTGTCTTCAGAAAGCAAACATCACATGATCCTCGTATCATGTTATTAAAGACAGCAACAGACAAAAAAGTGTTTTGCCAACACCGTTGCTAATTACAGCTCAGCTGATACATGGATGTTTGCTACTAACATTTACTATTGAATCAAGGACTTATCTCACCATCGTTGGAATACTGTCTTCACAAGGTTTAAGACATTAGAAAGTAATATCTAAAAGGTAACCAATGAGGCATTTGATCAAGAACCCTTACTTTTTTCAACTATGTATTTAATTTATTTGTTTTTTTATTATCAGAAACCGTATGTTGTTGTGCAGAACATCAAGGTTGAAAGATAATAAGCTGCGGGTAAATTCAATGGATCTCACCAAATGGGGAGAGGGAGAAATCGAACGAGAGTAGATTGGGCAGAATTGTAATCCAATAACCTCAACTAACAGTCACATAACCTTGTAACTCTCACTGCCTAGATTAAATATGAAGAATGGTTCGTTTGGACAAATTACTATAGTATTGTCAGTCATGGAGGATGAATCTCTATCCTCCAGAGATAGAATATTAAAGAACTTTAAATCTGAGCAATGTGAATGAAGAAGCTTTAGCCCAGACATCCTCTTTAGCCAATGTTTGTGGCCCTCACTTCCAATTCCTGCTCCATAGTTTACATCCTGAAATTCTGAAGTTGCTCAATTCTATCAGGTAACAGAATTCAAACATTATGTCACACTTTGCCCTCCAAATTAGTATTAATCTGACATAAGAGTACTAGACTGCTTGCTTACATGTTTACTAAGCTTCATTTATGCAATGAAATTGTTGAACGTTATACATTTTAAAAATGAGTATAGGAAATGAAGTGTATAATGCATCATTTATACATTTAATATAACTGATCATTTTAGTGACTTGATAACATACCCACAATACATTACAGAAAGTGTACTACACAATTTAGTAAATCTTGTTTTATATGAAACTGTTAACCAAAAATTAAAGGTGTAAAGTTCTAACCAAAACTACAGTACGAACTAAGTTTTATTAATGTGAACCTTACTTACTAGTGTCTATAAGAGCTGAAATGGATTCCTGTGTCAAGAGCTCTGCAGGCTGAAAGGCCAAGTGAAATACAGTATGCTTGTGTACCAGGGCGCACGAGAAAGCATTAATTGAGTCCCAGTTAGATTTAAAGCTGCATTCATTACCTGGAACCACTCCGTAAAATTCTTCTGCAATTCTAGCTGCTTCCTTCCGATTCCCTTTAACAATGTAAAAATGAGTCAGCAAAGCCAAGGAAATCTTGATCAGAAGTTTGAAGCAAAACAAAGCAAAAATTGTGACATAAATGTTGGTAAAGGTTGCGAGTATGTGATTGACCTCCATTTTGGCCTATGCTATTGTAAAAACAAGCTTTGGCTGCACCACAATATCATATGACATCTATTTTAATCACTGGAACAGTTGCTGATGTTTATAGCAATGGTGTTTACAGCAGAGAATGAATGGCCAATGCAAAGCATTACACCAAGTGGCTGTTTTACTATTGAAATGAATCATTTAAAACAGAATATAAATATCTCAATTCTGAGAAACGTGTGAATTGGACATTTTTAGTTAACTCATTTTAGGGTGTGCATGGCTCAGCTACAACAACAACAAGATTCCATTTATAGAGCGCCTTTCACGTCGGAAGGACGTCCCAAGGCGCTGTACAATTGGGTCAGGACCCGAGCAGGGGGGAAATGGTCAGGGTGAGAAGCAATCATGAGAACCCACTCCTGATGTTTATGAATGACAATACAGTATTGTTGTTAAATTTCTATTCAGATAAAGAAGGCAGTGTAATTTTTGCTGGTCATGCATCACATGCGCAAGCTGTGCAATGTTTTCCAGATGTGATTTATGAATTTTCCAACAACTTTATAGGGTTATAATAAAATAATAATTCTTGCATTTGGTATAGCGCTTTTCATGTCTTCTAGACGTCTCAAAACGCTTCACAGAATATACCGTAAAGTGAATTGACTGTATATTTGTGCGCAAAAACAATGTAACATCTTATGAATGGCATGTGAGAGCTCCTTTATGAACAAGCAGGGCAAGAATGGCCAAAGCAAGGAAATAGACATTCAAGAGAAAGGTATGGATAGGAGAAAGGTGATGGAGATTAAGAAAGCACAAAACTCCAATAGTTCTGGGAAAAACAATCTTCAAACACCTTATTTAGGATTTCAAAATCCATTGATGCACATTAGTTGCCACAATTGTATATAATTTAGTCTTAAAAATTTCCTAAATATTAGAACAGTGGAGGTCAGATGATTAGATTCAGAATAACTCTAACACAACACAAAGCTTTATATTATGGAGGACACCTTACAAACCTACTCTGAAGGCTCAGTCCCTTTATTTTAATTGTTTTGTAAATTTGGCATATGATTGTCCTCCATTTTGCTCCATGCTTTGTAAAAAAACAATGGCTGCACCAAAATATCATGACATTTATTTTAATGCCTGGCTATTTAATGGTTGGCAGCAAATTTATTACAGCAATGATATCAAGCACTCTGAATCATTTGCCCTATGTGACAGGCACAAATTCAGGTTGTTGTACATATAGTCACCATTTTTTGTCTTTTTATACCAATTCTAGGAGTGCCCACATTCCTACACAAAATAAAATATTCTCAATTAAGGTTCTAGTGTCTCCACACGCACCTTAAAACTGACCTCTTCAACTGCCTATGGTCACCTCCTCCCCTGCTGCCTCGATGTCCAACCCCTCCGCTTTAAAGTGTTCTGAGATTATATTCTAAGGGAAGTCATTCATTAAATGCAATTTGTTGTTGTTGTTTACCAAGAAGTTTGGTTACTTCTTTAATTTTAATAATATCTGGGTTACAAACGTATAAAACATCTTCAACAAAACGTTTCCCAATCAGCATCATAAATCTTGTAAAATATCCTTTTCCCACTACTCGGCACCTGAGTTACAGTGAGATTGTACTTCAACCAGTCTAAATCAAGACCAGCCTGAAGCACTAGATATTTCTTCTCTAATTCAAAGCATCCTACATAAAATGAAATAATCACGATTTTGTTCCCATTCCCACTGTCTAAAAGAGGCAGCAGTTTGATAGCAAACTGACAATCTCTATCGCAGTAAAGCAGGGGGTGATGCTTTCCTGACTTGAGATTAAAATGCATTGCTGGACTGAGTAGAAGCAGCTTTGCATCTGGCCATTTTATACAAAGCCTGATAATATCTGAAGATAAAATTGGGTGTTTAGAGGAACTGTGTTTAAAAGAAATACTCTAACCTTATTCCTTCCCCCCCTAGAAAAATGCAAAAAAAAAACACATCTAAAACTAACATTTAACATCAACATTTAAAAGCTACTGAAGCTGTGATTTAATTACTCTTTGAGTCTGGGGAATGAGGCACCAACCCAATGAAGTGCAATGAAGCATACTGTTCAGTTTTAAATAACAGTTTCCATCACACCAAATACAAAATGGATCCACCTGGAATTTGTTTTTGTCTACTACATTGCATTTTTATAGAATCCATGACTCAAAGAGCTTCAAAGATCCAGTGTAAACTTTTTTGTAGATAAAGACATTGCAGCAGCATGGTTTCAAGTCATTTTCCACTGTGTCTTCGGTCACCCTCTTACCCCTACCCTCCCTCCACCCCTCCTGTTCCCAACCACCAGCTCAGGTGCAGATCCCTGAATGTACAGCGTCTTGGGATGTCCTGACATGAAAGGCACTATACAAATGTAATTTGTTGTTGTTGAATGACCAATTAATTATGATTGTTGGCCAGTACAATGGGAGAAACTGCCTTTTCTTTTTCGAATAGTGCTTCATGATCTTTAACATCCAGCTGTGACCTCGGTTTAACATATCCAAAGAACGGCACATTTGACAATGCAGTGCTCCACCAAATGGCACTGAAGCCAAGACTACGAGTTCAAGTCCAGAGGTGGAACTCATTATCTTCAGATAACATTTTGAGAATAAAAACATGCAACAATAATCCTGACAATTGTGTAAATAAGGCATTGCCTTTTTAAACCAATTGCTGCTTTTTCTTTATATGTAATACTTTTTTAAAATTATTATTCCAGTTATTAGTCTCAGAGCAATTCCATTTTAAACCACCTCTCTCTTCAATAAATATAACCCCAACACCTCTAACCTACATCTTCAACACCAAATTTTGGTTGATATCGGTGGGAAAACTAAATATGGAAATAGGAAAACTTACTGTAATTTATACATAACTGGTCTGACAAGTGAAAATGTGATAAGGCACTATATCAAATGCAAGGATTTTTATTATTAAAAAACCTAATATTAAAGTGCAGGATTGCACTGAAAATAATAATAATCCTTGCACCTTATCACGTCTTTGAGACATCTCAAAGTGCTTCACAGAATATACTGTAAAGTGAACTGACTATTTTGCAGGTGAAAACTAGATATTATTTAAACATTAATATATGATGCACGCTAACAAGTTTTTCCTGGAGTGATACAGTATTTTGGTTTCAATACGAACATTGTTACAGATTTTAATGACAAAGTGCTCCAAGAAAATCTGGTTATTATTTAGGAATGTCTACAGTAATCAAATCCATGATGAATCCAGTATATAATAGCCAATAGGCACTGAGATGATTGGTTTGCTGCAGCAGTATATTTTTTATATGAAACCCTGGTTTTTCACTCCTCTCCAGAAGGTTTGAATTTCAATTGGCCCATTTTATGTCTGAGCCTGGACAGAATGTCAGTAACTATTTTATCACAGAGGGTGAGCATCACAACTGAACTAAAACCCAACCTTAGTTAATGTCCATTCTTGCAGGAGTGACTGAACAGCAATCAGAAACAGAACTGATTCACTTCTCTTTCCTTAGCCCAGAGTCAGCAAGTCCAATTCAAATGGCCTTACCTTACCACTTATTCCACTAATTGAATCTAATAGCACAGCTCAGAAATTGAACGTTTGTCTATATGCCCAGTTCCATCCTGGGCAATGGCTTCACCACCTGACCCAAGAATTTACAGCCAGTGAAATGAAAGAATTTTGCAAGACCTGATAGAATTAGACTCAAAGCAGGGTCCGTGAATTGTGATCATATGCCACACCGTTTATGAGGTGCATCACCTTCATTTAATGCATGTGCCTAAATGCACGGAGTTTAGCAAACAAGATTGGTGAGCTGCAGGCTCAAGTGGTCATAGGGGGATACGATGTAGTAGCAGTACCGAGACTTGGCTCAAGCAAGGACAGGAATGGGAGCTGAATATTCCTAGCTATAATGTATTCAGGAGGGATAGGGAAGGGAAAAAAAGGAGGGGTCGTGGCAATGTTAATCAAGGATACGGTTATAGCCGTGGAAAGGGTCGAGGTGCTGGAGGGCCCCAAAACAGAATCTATCTGCTTAGAGTTAAGGAACAAAAAAGGAGCTGTTATGCTGGTAGGGGTATACTATAGACCACCAAATAGTGGGAAGGAAATAGATGAGCAGATCTGCAAGCAGATCTCAGACAGATGCAAGGCCAACAGAGTCGTGATAATGGGGGACTTTAATTATCCCAACATAGACTGGCAAAACAACAGTGCAAAGGGCAAGGAGGGGGAAATATTCCTAAAATGCATACAGGACAACTTTCTTGATCAGTACGTTTCCAGCCCAACAAGGAAGGAAGCAGTGCTAGATCTAGTTCTGGGGAATGAAGTAGGGCAAGTGGAGCAGGTTTCAGTGGGAGAGCATCTGGGCAATAGTGATCACAACATCATTAGATTCAGAGTGTATATGGAAAGGGACAAGGAACCATCTAAGGTGAAGATATTCAACTGGAAGAGGGCAAATTTCAGTGAGTTAAAAAGGGACCTCGCCAAGGTGGACTGTAAAGAAAGATTGGCAGGTAAAACAACTAAAGAGCAGTGGGAAGTCTTCAAGGATGAGATAACTCGGGGACAGAATAAATACATTCCCACAAAAGGGAAAAGGCTTCCAAACCTCCCTGGATGACAAAGGTAATTGTATCTAGAATGAAGCAAAAAAAGGAGGTGTATGACAAATGTCAAACCCAAAATACAGAAGAGAACCAAACAGAATATAGCAAGTGCAGAAGTGGTTTGAAAAAGGAAATAAGAGGAGCGAAAAGATGATATGAAAAAAGGTTAGCAGGTAACATTAAAGGGAATTCTAAAATATTTTACAAGCATATCAAGAAAAAAAGGCTAGTCAAAGGTAGGGTGGGGCCAATTAAGGACCAAGGGGGAAATCTTATTGTGGAGGCAGAGGGCATGGCTGATGTGCTGAATGAGTACTTTGCACAAAAGAAGTGGATGCACTAAATGCCGCAGTATCGGAGGAGAGGGTAGAGGAAATGGATAGGATAAGTATAAACAGAAAGGAAGTACTGAAAAGGTTGACTGCACTGAAGGTAGATAAGTCGCCAGGTCCGGACAGGATGCAACCAAGACTACTATGGGAGGCATGGGTACGAATTGGCTACAATTTTTCAATCTTCGTTGGACACAGGAGTGGTACTAGAGGACTGGAGAGTGGCCAATGTGACTCCCCTGCACAAAAAGGGACAGAAGGACAAACCTGGGAACTACAGGCCAGTCAGCCTAACATCAGTAGTGGAGAAACTCCTGGAGACTATAATCCGGGACAGAATATATCTTCACTTAGAAGAATATGGGTTAATTAGGGACAGCCGACACGGATGTGTTAAAGGCAAATCTTGTCTAACAAATCTAATAGAATTTTTCGATGAGGTAACGGAGAGGGTGGATAAAGGTAGTGCAGTTGATGTAGTTTATATGGACTTTCAAAAGGCATTTGACAAAGTGCCACATGAAAGACTTGTAAGAAAGGTAGAAGCCCACGGTATAAAAGGGACAGTGGCAGCATGGATCCAGAACTGGCCGGGAGACAGAAAGCAGAGAGCTGTGATGAACGGCTGCTTTTCTGACTGGAGGGAAGTGTACAGTGGCGTTCCCCAGGGATCGGTATTAGGACCACTGCTTTTTATATATATACATAAATGATCTGGACTTGGGTATAACAAGTACCATTTCCAAGTTTGCGGACGACACAAAGTTAGGTAGGGTGGTAAACAGTGAGAAGGATAGTAGCCAACTGCAGGAAGACAAAGACAGAATGGTAAAATGGGCAGACACATGGCAGATGAAGTTCAATGTGGAGAAATGCGAGGTAATGCATTTTGGAAGAAAGAATGAGAGGAGGCAATATAGGCTGGTAATACAATCTTAAGGGGGGTAAAAGAACAGTGAGACCTGGGGGTGCAGGTAAATGAATCCTTGAAGGTGGCAGGACAGGTAGATAAAGCTGTAAAAAGGGCATATGGGATACTAGGCTTTATAAATAGTGGCATAGAGTACAAGAGTCAGGAGGTTATGATTAACCTATAAAACACTGGTTAGGCCTCAGTTAGAATACTGTGCCCAGTTCTGGGCACCACACTATAAGAAGGATGTTAAGGCGTTGGAAAGGGTGCAGAGGAGATTTACGAGGATGGTACCAGGAATGAGGGACCTTGATTATGAGGAAAGGCTAGAGGCTGGGATTATTCTTATTGAAGCAGAGGTTACGAGGAGACCTAATAGAGGTCTTCAAAATCATGAGGGGATTTGATAGGTTAGAAAGGGAAAAACTGTTTCCACTGGTGGGTCACAGTGACTTGAGGTCACAGATTCAAAATAGTCTCTAAAAGCAGAGGGGAGGTGAGAAGAAATTTTTTCACGCAGCGAGTTGTTCGAATCTGGAACGCATTGCCTGAAAGGATGGTTGAAGCCGATTCGATAACAACTTTTAAAAACACGGTGGACGGGTAATTGAGGACGGGTTTGCAGGGTTATGGGGAAAGGGCTGGGGAGTGGAATTGACATTAATTGCTCTATTCAAAGAACCGGCACAAACATGTTGGGCCGAATGGCCTCTTTTTGTGCTTTACGATTGTATGATTCCATGATTACTTTTATTTTCCAGACCAACTTTCCCCCAGCAATTTTCTTTTGTTATTTTCCCTGTCTCATGAAATAATTGGGAGTCTGAAATATGTTGGATCACTAAAAATAGCAGTTTTTTCTTTTGATTAAGGCTTTATAATGTAAAGATGCACCAAAAAAAGGTCAAATGACTTTTTGCTGGCACCCACTTCCAGGAGATTATTTATACGCGAACCGTGACAATAAGAGTTCTGAGGTTATTTAACCATAGTAGCTTTTCTCCTTCCATCAGCAATTAGATAGAAATCAGGATAGAAAATGGTTTTGCTCCTCAAACCTTGACCATTAAGTCTTCAATGCACCTTTTTATAATAAATAATCTTTGCATTTGATATAGCGCCTTATCACATCAAGACCTCTCAAACGCTTCACAGAATATACTGTAAAGTGAATTGACTTTACATTTTGTGGGCGAAACGCAGCAGCTAATTGCGCAAGGCAGTGTCCTAGTCGTGGATTGAGTGAGCAAATTTTTTTTTTTTTGGAAGGAATTATTACCCCCGGAAAAGCGATCCGCCAATAGACTAACAACCGGGTTCCTACTTACTGCCAGGTAAACAGAGGCCTGTGAAGTAAAGAAACCTGCCCAACGTTTTGCCCAGAGGGAATCAAACCCAGGTCTCTCGCTTGCGAGGCGACTGCTCTATCCACTGAGCTACAGAACTCCACTTTCTGAAACTTTCTTATTGATATTACCCTACAGAAATAATTTCCTTAGAACCAAGTTTATTTTCTGAGAGGTGGAAAGGAAATATTTCAATATGTGAACATAATTGATGAAGTTTCACTTAGATACAATTTGTAATTAAATGGTATACTTTCAATCCCCGACTGTTCAGTGTCTTGGGACATCCTCCCAACGTGAAAGGTTCTTTACAAATATAATTTTGTATTGTATACTTCAATCAATTTATATTAAATTTATTTTAAAAATGTTATACCAATATTTTAAGAGGCATTTAAGAGGTAGCAAAACAGCCAAATAATTACTCAGCTTCATAAATAAACTAAAAAACAGGTAGAGTCTTGGATCGGGTGTAAACAGAGCCTCATGTCTGTACTTTGCAATTGTTTCTTGGAGTTTTGCCATGTTTTTTAATCGTTGAGAAACTTTCTTGTTGCTTCCAAACTCCTTTCACACCAGTGGCATCTACAGCAATGTCAATAATATCATCTGGAACTAGCCACCTCAGGAAGAACAAGAAAAGGACATCTAACACAGCAATTAATGCAAATATACAACCGGCCACAGGGCCACAATGGGTCATTAATCTTTTAAGTCGTTTGTCTATTGGCAGCACCATCTCTTTGGTTACGCGGTCGTATACCTAGGAGAAGATCATAAGAAGCAAGATTAGATCTACACAGTTGCGTATCACATTATCAATCAATGGAGAGAAAATTCTACTCCAGTAGTTTTACTTGCTTACACACAACTAAGTATGGTTAGTAAACAAATATGATGAATGAAAAAGCCACTAATAGTTGCAGATATAAAAAAAGACTCCCAATGTACATTAAACCAAAACATTTTAACAATCGATCAGTGTTGGCAAAAGCAGTCTATAAAATAGTGAATTCCAATAAGTGCTTAAAGCACAGAACCTTAGCTGCAAGGCATGTTTTCTATAACACTAACTGTATACACTCCAAACATACAACATGGTTTACATTTATATTGCATATTTCAGGCAGGACATCTCAAAAGCGCTTTACACGGCTGACAGGCATTCAACAGTATTCTAGAATACGCTGCTGAAACTCTGGTCCACGCCTTTGTCACCTCAGGGCTGGACTACGGGAACTCTCTCTTCGTCGGCCTTCCCGGCACCTCCCTCCACAAGCTGCAGGTCAGAACTCTGCAGCTCGTGTACTGTACCGCACCAGGCTTCGGGACCACATCACTCCCACCCTCGCCTCCACTGGCTCCCCATCCCCCAGAGGATCGAATTCAAGATCCTCACCTACAAGGCCATTCACGGCTTTGCTCCCTCCTACCTCTCTGACCTACTAACCCCCTACTTACCTGCCCGTACCCTCCGTTCCTCTGGCTCCGGTCTGCTCCACATCCCCCGCCCCAACCGCCCTAACATCGGTGGCCGGGCTTTCAGCCTCTCAGCCCCTAGGCTCTGGAACTCTATCCCCCAGTGCCTTCGCCTTGCTTCCTCCCTTTCCTCCTTCAAGGCCGGTCTCAAGTCCTTTCTCTTCAACCTTGCCTTCAGCTCCCCTCTCGACTCTCTACCCCCTCCTCGCTCCCTCCCTTCCCTCCCCTCACCCTGACCATTTCCCCGCTGCTCGGGTCCCGACCCAACTGTCCAGCGCCTTGGGACGTCCTCCCGACGTGAAAGGCGCTCTATAAATGCAATCTTGTTGTAGAAGTCTAGGTATACAAGGTGCGTGAACTTTGAAAGTCAAGATACACAAATTGTGATAAGTGAATACATGCCTTTTCAGTACGTTCAGCCACATTTCTCCAGCTGTATAAACTCTTCACTCTGTTGTGGATAGCTTCAGCTGATGGTAGAGTCCCTAACTGCTGCCGTTTAATAGCAGATTCCAGTCCTTCACATAGAAATTTGACTGTAGGTTCACACAGGATTATAAGATCCTCTGGCAGAACCTCTGGGACACCGCCGACCTTTGTACTGACAACCTTTTACAAAAGCAGAGAAAATACTTATAATTTTGCCTATTTTTATCCTCTTAAATCTCAGCATATTTAATAATTATATTTGCACTACTGATTACACTGCTCCCATGACTTACCAATTGGCACAGCCCAATGCATCAGTAAGCCATACAGACAGAATATGCGTTCAAGTTCACTTGTGTTGAATTACTTGATCTCAACAACAGCAGTATTTGGATTGTTACAATGAGTATTTTTTCATACTAAGGAAGGGACTAGGGCCAGGAAATATCAACTAGCATTCCTGCTTCGTATTACTATATAATTATTAATTCTAATGCGTCGGCTGGAACAGGATCACCTGTGATGTTTTGCATGGTTACAAAGCTGCCTACATTCACAATATGGGTTTATATTTCACCCACAAAATATACAGTCAATTCACTTTACAGTATATTCTGTGAAGTGCTTTGAGACGTCTCGAAGACCTGATAAGGCGCTATATCAAATACAAGGATTATTTATATATACATATATATGGGTTCAGAATCACAGGATTGTTAGACTGAAAAATTAGGGGGAAGTTAGGAGGTATTATTATTATTATCGTACAAAGAATGACCTCTTAGGTTATGTATTGGTGAGTACTTGTCAAACCATACCGTAGAAAAAGTCTTCAGACATTTCAGACACTACAACAATCACTTGCACTTATAGCACCCTCCACGCAGAGTAACAACGCTTAAACTAATAAGAGTACAATTGAAAACTACTTTTATTTTTGAATTTCTATGAATTTGAAGGTAAAGCTAAATATTTACTCGATACTTGGCTGCTTCTAGTTCAAAAGTCTGTGAATAGGATAAAAGACCATTCTGACTGACGTCTCCTTTCCCCCCACAATAGTCTTATTCAGGCTTGGAAACTGCATTTGTAATTGTCTGGAAATAAATGATCTTTTGTCAGGAAGTCAGTGAAATCCTGAGACCAACTGAATATTTAATTAGCAATACAAGTGCCCGTAAGCTTGTGTTATGGCAATCATGAATTCAAAAGTTGTGAATCCATCTTTAACTTGTTCCACAACAAGCCCAAGGATATTCTAATTGTGCCAAGCTCTTACTTGATTTATTACAGCATTAAAGGAAAGGAAATGGGGGATTCATTGGCTGGACACTCTTTAAAACGACAAGCTTGTAAAACCACTGTAGGCAGGATGCACTAGGCCTGAAAGCCCTACAAATACAAAGCAGTATAATAGATACAGTGGAGTCCTGTAGCTCAGTGGTTAGAGCACTCGCTTCGCAAGCGAGAGACCTGAGTTCAATTCCAGGCAGAGGGCGAAACCTTGGGCAAGTTTCCTTACTCCACACAGAGCCTAATAATAATCCCTCCAAAAACCCAAAACAATAATAAATTGGTCATTTTCAATCTACGACTGTTTGTGGGACATTGCTGTGCGCAATTGGCTGCCGCGTTCGCCCACAAATATACAGTCAATTTACAGTGTGTTCTGTGAAGCGCTTTGGGACGTCCTCCCGACGTGAAAAGCGCTATATCAAATGCAAGGATTATTATTATTATTATACAGGGCAGGAAAGGCATTACCTGGAGACCACAGCTAGCTGCTTCAACAATTGCCATACAGAAGGCTTCTGTCAGAGAAGTGTTGAGGAAAATGTGTCCCTGAACCAAAACATTCCTCACATCTTTATGTTCCAGAGCACCCAGAAGACGTACCCTGCACGGAAAACAAAGTCAAAATCAATCACCTAATCAAATATTTTTTTAAAAAAATTACAAGGTGTTATTTAACAAAAAGACATACTATAAGTTATAAATTCATTTAGTTGAATTGGAAATCTACTTTGCTGCATGATCCAAATAAATGATAAGCCATTTGGTGAGTGTACAACAGAGTAAATGAACCAATATATGTTTTACATATAGTAGTTCAAAACAAGAAAGAGACAAACAGCAGATTAATTAATCATGTTTCGCCCACAAATATATGGTCAATTCACTTTACAGTCTATTCTGTGAAGCACTTTGAGACGACGAGAAGATGTAAAAAGCGCTATATCAAATGCAAGGACTATTATTATTAATCAAGTTCTTATCGTTGGGTGGAAAAGTAAAACTAAATTCTTTTGATACCTTAATGTGCATATATAAATACTATATTTATATATGCACATTAAGTGTTATGTCATGTTAAATTAATTAAACAAATAATCTACAACCAAATAAATATTAATTATTCATAGAATTAATTGTTTTGGAGTTTGCTCTGAGCCTGGAATGGTATATAAATTAGGGAACAAGGTTCACTCACTTCTGCACAAGCTGTTCGTTCCACAATGGCATAATCTATTTACAGAATGACAATTATTTGCATTCAAGAAAATTCAACCATCATGCAAATGAGATAAAGGGCATATGCTGGTATCTTCAGCCCACTTAAGTATGCTTTATTGTAAAATCAGAATACAGCACATGATGAAAAACATGCTAATCTTAATGGCCTGTGGTGTATAACTCCCCCCACCCTGCAGTTTGTTTCTTTACTTCCACAACAAAAACAAAGTAAGGAAAAGAGGACATTATTTACATGTACCTGTCATGGAGTTGATATTTTTCTCGCACTTCCTCCAGTACAATTCTTTTAGGTCCCTCACCACCAATGAGAAAGTGCAAGTTAGGATACTTCTGGCATAATTCTGGAATTATACCAGCAAGCAAATCTATTCCTAGATGAGCAAACAAAAACTGAAGGTTACATTTACAATTTTAAACTTTTTTTAAATAAAGGTCAAAGAATTTGTTTGAACAAAGGCTTGCAATGCCTCTTAAATAGTAAACTCACAATCACATCTCTGTTGGTTACTAGAGAATTGGTTTTACCGAATGCTGAGTATTGTTGGAGCTGTTGCAGGCACCCAATTATAGGAAGGATGCAAGAGAAAAGTTGCAGTATACATTCAACCAGAATGGTACTAGAGATTCAGGGAGGGACTTGAGAAGATATGGCTCTATAATTCTTTCATTTAATATAGTGCCTTATCACGTTATTGAGACGTCTCAAAGCGCTTAATAATAATAAATAATCCTTGCATTTGATATAGCTCTTTTCACGTTGTCTCGACGTCTCAAAGCGCTTCACAGAATAGATTGTAAAGTGAATTGACCGTATATTTGTGGGCAAAACGCGGCAGCCAATTGCACACAGCAGTGTCCCACAAACAGTTGTGGGTTGAAAATGACCAATTTATTATTGCTTTTGTTTTGGAGGGATTATTATTAGGCGTATGGAGTAAGGAAACTTGCCCAAGGTTTCGCGCTGCCTGGAATTGAACCCAGGTTTCTCGCTTGCAAAGCGAGTGCTCTAACCACTGAGCTACAGGCTTCACAGAATACATTGTAAAGTGGCTTGACTGTGTATTTTGTGGGTGAAACACAGCAGCCGATTGCGCACAGCAATATTCCACTAACAAGTCGTCTCGGATCTTCAAACATTGATGGAGCCCAAAACCGATCCGGGGGAGAAGTCACCCTAGGCACGGTCAAAGAAGAAGATCCAGATTTAATCTGAAGATGGGCAAGGAGTAGGCAAGGCCTTTGAGGCATAGTTCCCTAGTTTTGGGGCATAGTGGCTAAAAGCAGCCAGAGGAAATAGAAACCTCCAGAACAGTTTTGATAGAGATGCTTTTCTGTGGCAGTCTTTGAATATTTTTTTTTAAAAACACAACAAAAGCTCAGACCACAATACCCCTCCAACCCATTCCCACCTTCCGGGAACTGTTGCCAGATTGGGCAAGTTCACACCCAATTGGGCATATTTTTGTCAGTTTGTGCACATAAAAGGGGCTTTGAATTTTTTAAATTTTTAACGAACCTCTCCCCGGCATTGAGGCCCTTTTCTGAGTTTCAGAAGCACTAACCTAAATTGGCTGATCTGCTCGCCCTAACATAGCCCAATATTGTGTGTTGCCTCCTATTAGGTTAATTTAAGTCGTATTTAGGTTAGAGCACTCGCCTTGCAAGCAAGAGGACCTGGGTTTGATTCCCGGCAGGACGAAACGTTGGGCAACTTTCTTTACTCCATATTCCTCTAATCGCCTTGGGACGTCCTCCCGACGTGAAAGGCACTCTATAAATGCAATCTTGTTGTTATCGACGTAACAATCAGTGGGAACCCGGTTGTCAGTTGATTGGTGGATCGCTTTTCCGGGGGTAGTAATCTCTCCCCCAAAAATGATCACAATGATAATGTGGACACTCGATCCACGACCGTTTGCGGGACACCGCTGCGCGCAATTGGCATTTCGCCCACAAAATATGAAGACGACGATGCCGCCGCCGCCCTCCACGTACATCGCACCCTCCGCGCAGGGCCGGGTCTCGGGAGCCCTTTGCCCCCAATTCGCTTCACAGTCCATCCCGTGAAGCGCTTCGGGGCGTCTCGGAAGGCGCCGTCTCAAACGCAAGGATGATGATGATGATGATGACTATCAGATTAATTTAGCTGTTAAGCTGCGATGTTGGGGCTACTTTGGGGGTAGACTTTGGGCTACAAAACGTCTGCAAATCTCCGGCAAACCCCCCCCCCCCCTCTTCCCCTCCCCTCCCCTCTCCCTTCCCGAGCGGGGTAAGTCACCTTTGCGGTACACCAGCCTGCTGACCACCACCACGGTGAGGGTGCGGGGGTCGGGCCTGCCGCCGGCCCGGGGGGTGAAGTCGGTGGGGTCCACGGCGTTGGGGATGACGGAGACGCGGGCCGGGTCCAGGGCCGCCCGCAGCACCGTGTTCTCCTTGCTGGTGTGCGACACGCACACGACGTGGCTGGTGTCGCACAGGGACACGGCGAGCAGCTTGTTGGTCAGCACCGAGCTCACGTCCGCGAAGCCGAAGAGCGAGTGGTCGGTGAAGACGCTGCGCAGGCCCAGGGCCTTGGCGTGGAAGAGCGCGTCGTGGGCCATGGACGAGAAGGAGCTGTGCGCGTGGACCAGGCCGACCCGCTCCCGCACCAGCACCCAGCGCAGCAGCGGGAGGCTGTGGAACAGGCTGGTGGCCGTCGACTGGTTGTACATGACCCGCAGCGGCAGGTGGTAGACCTTCAGGCCGCGGGTCAGGTAGCGGACCCCGCGCCGGCGCCCGTACGCGTGGGTCACCACCACCACCTTGTGGCCCCGCTCCAGCAGGCACTGCGACAGCTGGTAGATGTGGCTCTCCACCCCGCCCATGTTGGGGTAGAAGAAGTCCGACACCATGCACACGCAGTGCGGGCCGCCGCCCGCCCCTCCCGCCCGCTGGCTGTCGGCCCCCCCGGGGCCTCGGGACTGTCCGGCGGCGGCGGCAGTAGCCAGAGTGCCGTCAGCCCGAGCCCGAGCTCCGCGGCTCCTCACACGGCCTGTTCCGGCCCCGCCAGCGCCAGAGCGAGGCCGTCACCGGAAGTAACGTGGGAGCGGTCAGAGCGAGGCTCGGGTGTGCGCGGTCAGAGCGAGGCTCGGGTGTGCGCGGTCAGAGCGAGGCTCGGGTGTGCGCGGTCAGAGTGAGGCTCGGGTGTGCGCGGTCAGAGCGAGGCTCAGGTGTGAGCGGTCAGAGCGAGGCTCAGGTGTGTGCGGTCAGAGCGAGGCTCAGGTGTGAGCGGTCAGAGCGAGGCTCAGGTGTGTGCGGTCAGAGCGAGGCTCAGGTGTGAGCGGTCAGAGCGAGGCTCAGGTGTGAGCGGTCAGAGCGAGGCTCAGGTGTGTGCGGTCAGAGCGAGGCTCAGGTGTGAGCGGTCAGAGCGAGGCTCAGGTGTGAGCGGTCAGAGCGAGGCTCAGGTGTGTGCGGTCAGGGCGAGGCTCGGGTGTGTGCGGTCAGAACGAGGCTCAGGTGTGTGCGGTCAGAGCGAGGCTCAGGTGTGTGCGGTCAGAGCGAGGCTCAGGTGTGTGCGGTCAGAGCGAGGCTCAGGTGTGTGCGGTCAGAGCGAGGCTCGGGTGTGTGCGGTCAGAACGAGGCTCGGGTGTGTGCGGTCAGAGCGAGGCTCAGGTGTGTGCGGTCAGAGCGAGGCTCAGGTGTGTGCGGTCAGAGCGAGGCTCAGGTGTGTGCGGTCAGAGCGAGGCTCGGGTGTGTGCGGTCAGAGCGAGGCTCAGGTGTGTGCGGTCAGAGCGAGGCTCGGGTGTGTGCGGTCAGAGCGACAACAGCAACTTGGATTTATATAGCGCCCTCCACCCGGACGGCGTCTCAGAGCACTTTACAGTTTCGGATCCCGGGGCAGAGCCAGGGGGGAGGAGAGGAAGGTGACCAAAGGTGCGGTCGAAAAGAAAGGTCTTCAGCAGAGACCTGAAAATGGGAAAATGGGAAGCGAGACGAAGGGAGTGAGGAATGCAGTTCCAGAGCCTCGGGGCATAGTGGCTGAAGGCACAGCCGCCGAATGTGGAGCGGAGGATTCGGGGGACGAGGAGGCCAGACCCGGAGGAACGAAGGCAATGGGTGCTGTTTTGAGGAGAGAGGTCAGAGAGGTAGGGGGGTACAGAGGAGTGCAGGGACTTGAATACAAGGATGAGGATCTTGAAATCGATCCTCTCTGGGACAGGCAGCCAGTGCAGTCTGGCAAGGACTGGGGTGATCGGGGAACGAGGCTCAGGTGTGCGCAGTGAGAGCCAGGCTCAGGTGTGCGCAGTGAGAGCCAGGCTCAGGTGTGCGCAGTGAGAGCCAGGCTCAGGTGTGCGCAGTGAGAGCCAGGCTCAGGTGTGCGCAGTGAGAGCCAGGCTCAGGTGTGCGCAGTGAGAGCCAGGCTCAGGTGTGCGCAGTGAGAGCCAGGCTCAGGTGCGCAGTGAGAGCGAGGCTCAGGTGCGCAGTGAGAGCGAGGCTCAGGTGCGCAGTGAGAGCGAGGCTCAGGTGCGCAGTGAGAGCGAGGCTCAGGTGCGCAGTGAGAGCGAGGCTCAGGTGCGCAGTGAGAGCGAGGCTCAGGTGCGCAGTGAGAGCCAGGCTCAGGTGCGCAGTGAGAGCCAGGCTCAGGTGCGCAGTGAGAGCCAGGCTCAGGTGCGCAGTGAGAGCCAGGCTCAGGTGCGCAGTGAGAGCGAGGCTCAGGTGCGCAGTGAGAGCGAGGCTCAGGTGCGCAGTGAGAGCGAGGCTCAGGTGCGCAGTGAGAGCGAGGCTCAGGTGCGCAGTGAGAGCGAGGCTCAGGTGCGCAGTGAGAGCCAGGCTCAGGTGCGCAGTGAGAGCCAGGCTCAGGTGCGCAGTGAGAGCGAGGCTCAGGTGCGCAGTGAGAGCCAGGCTCAGGTGCGCAGTGAGAGCCAGGCTCAGGTGCGCAGTGAGAGCGAGGCTCAGGTGCGCAGTGAGAGCGAGGCTCAGGTGCGCAGTGAGAGCGAGGCCTGTTTAATTGTCCCACCTGGTCTGCCCTACCAGAGCTTTCAGACACTTTGCTCCACTCACTGGAACTCTCACCCTAAATCCCTTCCTCTTTCCCTCCCTGCTTTCTAAACCCATCATAAAATTTCTTTGACTGCCATTGACCACCTCCCATCTACTCCCCATCAATACCCCCAGCCCATCTCCCTTCCACCCCAGTCTCAAAATCCATCCCTTTAAATTACTTTGAGACGTTCTTCTAAGGTACAGCCCTGTACTGACCTGGAGATTCAGTTATAATGTGGACCTGATTTGCTACATGTGTGTTGCCAGCCAGTTCACTTCCTGCACGCTGGCCAACTCCCAAGCAAAAATGGCTAAATTCCTGGTCATTCAGTCCACCAATGTCCCCCTTCCTGACATCATTCAATTGCTCAAAACCTCTTTTTGAAATTGTTAACATTGTGCAATGTAGATTCAGGGAATACCACTTTCATTCAGCTTGAAAAGATGCTTTAAGCCAGTTATTGTCACCCCCAATTGATTTAATGGAGACAAAATATATTCTTTATTTCATTCTATTTATAACTATTAAAATAACTTGGTAGTCAAATTTTATATTATTAGACAGTCAGTGGTCCTTATCATGTAACTTGGTTGAACTGTTTCCTGAACAATCTGGTGGTGTCACAATGGTGTTAATTGCATTGCTGTTTAGTTACTAATATTGGATATACCTTCAAGAGAAAGATGGTTTTGGAGACTTGGTACCTTCCCGCAAAGAGGGAAGACAGGGAGATGTGCTTCTTAACAATAGGTTTCAGAGGAACAGGTTATTACTCTGCTTTTATGGTCATGGGACTGATGAAGTGGGTGGGAAACTGAAAGAGGAAGACTAAATGGAGAAGAATATAAGGAATGTGACAATCACATTGAGTTATTTAATAATGTGATACATCATTTTGACTACCAATTCAACAGAGATGTCATATAGACTTTTATTATGTAAATAACATACAGAAAATATTTTTATGTTCTAGAAATGAAAGACATAGACACATTTAAATTGCTGCTACATTTAATATTTTACATAATTCTTCAGTATCAATAATTTAAAGCAAGGCTAGGAGTGTTGTACTAGCTCCTTTTATTTAAAAAAAAGGCATCCATACATCATTGTGGGTGGACTCTTACTTTGTGGGTTATGTTAGTGTTCGCTTCCACTCACACCGGCAGTACTCGTAATTGAAAACCATTCCCAAAGCGCAGGATCTGGAGTGGGATAAACAGGCATGTCTGTCCACACAGCTGTAACAACAAATAGAATGGGTCAAAAGAAATATTGATATATTTTACATTACACCTGTATTAAAGCTGTCCCACAGCAAATGAAATTAGAAATAAATGCTGTAATTTTTTAAGGCATAGGCATGGGCAACAGACCTGAACTTCATTAATCCCTTCACCTGATTACTGTAGCTGTTACAATCATTACTTTTTTTTATTGTTTTGTTTGATGAGTATTGTGCAACGGCAAAATGGGAGGTGCATAAATAAAAGAATACTTAATGCTTGTATTTTGATATGCTGTGTACAATCCTCTGTAAATTATAATAAAAATTACTTTGACAGTAACCTGTTTGCAACCCATTCTCTTAAGCACAGGGAACCTGTTCCATTGGTTGTAGTATGAACAAAATTGAACTTAGTCTCCGGAATATCGCCAGATTACGGCACTACCTCACCCCTCACGCTGCTGAAACCCTGGTTCACGCCTTTGTCACCTCAAGGCTGGACTATGGGAACTCTCTCCTCGTCGGCCTTCCCGGCACCTCCCTCCACAAGCTGCAGGTCATTCAGAACTCTGCAGCTCGTGTACTGTCCCGCACCAGGCTTCGGGACCACATCACTCCCACCCTCGCTCGCCTCCACTGGCTCCCCATCCCCCAGAGGATTGATTTCAAGATCCTCATCCTCACCTACAAGGCCATTCACGGCCTTGCTCCCTCCTACCTCTCCAACCTACTATCCCCCTACCTACCTGCCCGTACCCTCCGTTCCTCTGGCTCCGGTCTGCTCCACGTCCCCCGCCCCAACCGCCCTACTATCGGTGGTCGGGCCTTCAGCCTCTCAGCCCCGAGGCTCTGGAACTCCATCCCCCAGTGCCTTCGCCACCTCCTCCCTCTCCTCCTTCAAGGCCGGTCTCAAAACCTTTCTCTTTGACCGTGCCTTCAGCTCCCCTCTCGACTCTCTTCCTCCTCCTCGCTCCCTCCCTTCCCTCCCCTCACCCTGACCATTTCCCCCCTCCTCTCTCCCTCCCTTCCCTCCCCTCACCCTGACCATTTTCCCCCTGCTCGGGTCATGACCCAACTGTGCAGCGCCTTGGGACGTCCTCCTGACGTGAAAGGCGCTCTATAAATGGAATCTTGTTGTTGTTGTTGTTGTAGTTTACATTGAACAAACCCCATCGTTGTAGAACGGCATTCAACATGCATAAGGACATATTCTTGTATTCTTATCAGTGAATAACCTCAGGTCTGCAACAGCCACAAAGACTGGTACGGTTAATATGACTTTATTCCTGAAATGTCTTATCTCTTCAAAGAACTGTCCCCCCCCTTTAGAAAAATTTGTTCTGCAAACAGGTTTGATGTCCTGCCAAAATGCAAACTGGAAACGTGGAAAATTACGATCCAGGTAAACAAGAAAAAGTATCATTAAAAAGAAATTTCATTTGACATAGCGCCTAGCAGTGGTGTGCTCTCATCTCCTGGTCCCCACTCGGCCTTTCCCCTTACTCCTCCGGAACCTTCCCCTCCTTCGAACACCTTACCCTCTACCACCCCTACAGGCTCTCCCTCAAAATCCTCCTTGTCTATTGTTCCCCCAAGCCTTCCCCCACCTTCCTCTCAGACATCTCCACCTCCTATTCTCCCTCTCCCTCTGCCCCGAACGCCTTCTAATCCTAGGCGACTTCAACCTCCACCCCCTCCTCCTCTACCTCTGCCGACTTCTCCTCTCTCCTCTCTTCCCTTTACCTCTCCTTCCTCATTCACTCCCCCACCCACGTCTGTGGCCACCCCCTTGAACTGGTGATCACCCGGGGCCTCGCCATCTCGGACATCACCATCATCGATAAAGCATCTCGGACCACCACTTCATCTCCTTCAACACCTCTGTACCCCTTCCCCTTTCTCAACCCTTCACCATCACATATCGTCCGTGGAAAAAAATTTCCTCCCTCTCCCTCTCCACTGCCCTGGAGTCATCTGAACTCCTACACTTCTGGCCCTCCATGACCAATCTCCCCTCCTCACTCTCTTTTCTCCACAACTCCCTGTCCTCCATTCTGACCTCCCTTACCACCCTCACCTCCCGAACTGCCTCAGACTCCCATAAATCCCCCTGGTACACCAGCCGTCTCCGTTCTCTCAAGGCACGTGCGAGCTGCCGAACGTGCCTGGACCAAATCCAAACTAACGGTCCATCGGCAGATCTGGCTTCACCACACCAAGACCTACCACTGCGCTCTTGCCTCCGCCAAATCCTCCTTCTACTCCAAGGTTATCTTGGAGGCAAAGGACAACCCCCGGCTTCGCTTTTCCACGACAAACTGTCTCCTCCGTCCACCTCGCCATGCCTCACCTATCCTCTCCTCAAACTCCAACTGTAAAGAGATGCTGGATTTCCTCAAAACCAAAATCAAGGGGATACGTTCAGCCATCCACACATCACCTCTCCCTCATGACCCACCCTCCACCCATACCCCACTGTACTCCTTCAACCTTATCTCTCCCTCCTCCCTCTCCGTGATTGTTTGTGAACTCAAACCCACCACCTGCTCCCTCAATCCCATCCCCACCTCTCTCCTCATCTCCCAGCTCCACCTTCTGGCCCCTCTCCTGTCCGACGTGATCAACCTCTCCTTGTCAACTGGTTCAGTTCCAACCCCCCTAAAAACTGTCATCACCCCCATCCTGAAAAAATCTTCCCTGGACCCATCCCTGCTCTCCAGCCCCGTTTCTGACCTCCCATTCCTCTCCAAGGTCCTGGAACGAGTCGTCGCATCCCAGCTCCGCTCCTTTCTCTCTCGCTTTTCCCTCTTTGAACCCCTCCAATCCGGCTTCCGCGCTGCCCACCGCACGGAAACTGCCCTGGTCAAAGTCACTAATGACATTCTAAACATCTGTGATCAGGACTCCCTCTGACTCCTTGTCCTCCTCGACCTCTCTGCCGCCTTCGACACTGTTGACCATTCTATCCTCACACACCGCCTCTCCTCCTTACTTAATCTTCGCGGACCTGCCCTTGCCTGGATCGATTCCTATCTCTCTCACCATCTCCACTTTGTTGCCTATAACAGTTTCTCCTCCAGCCCCCGCACTGTCACGTATGGCGTCCCCCAGGGCTCTGTCCTTGGCCCTCTCCTCTTTAATATCTACATGCTCCCCCTTGGTGACATCATCCGCAGACATGGGGTCAACTTCCATATGTACGCGGATGACACCCAACTCTATCTTTCTGCCTCCACCCTCAACTCCAGGACCACTGCTGTCCTGACAGACTGCCGGTCGGACATCAAGTCCTGGATGAGGGCAAACTTCCTGCAGTTGAATGTGAACAAGACTGAGGCCCTTCTGATTGGCTCGCGCCAGCGCCTCAGCACCTCAGGCTCTGGCATCAACCTCCATGGTTGAACACTTCAACTCACCAAACCAGTCAGGAACCTGGGTGTCTTGTTCAACCCTCAACTGTCTTTTCTCCCCACATCCAAGCTATGACCTGCTCTGTCTTCCCTCACCTCCGTAACATCGCCCGACTCTGCCACTACCTCAGGCCGCTGAAACTCTTGTTCATGCCTTCATCACTTCCAGGCTCGACTATAATAATAATAATAATAATAATAATCCTTGCATTTGATATAGCGCTTTTCACGTCGGGAGGACGTCCCAAAGCGCTTCACAGAACACACTGTAAAGTGAATTGACTGTATATTTGTGGGCGAACTCGGCAGCCAATTGCGCACAATTGTCCCACAAACAGTCGTAGATTGAAAATGACCAATTTAATTATTGTTTTTGGTTTTTTGGAGGGATTATTATTAGGCTCTGTGTGGAGTAAGGAAACTTGCCCAAGGTTTCGCCCTGCCTGGAATTGAACTCAGGTCTCTCACTTGCAAAGCGAGTGCTCTAACCACTGAGCTACAGGACTATGCAAACGCCCTGCTTGTCAGCCTTCCTAACTCCTCCCTTCACAGGCTGCAGATAATCCAGAACGTTCACCCCCTCCTTAGCCTCCTTCAAGTCCCGCCTCAAAACCCTACTCTTCGACCATGCCATCGGTCACCCCCCCTTCCCCTCCCCTCCCTTCTCCCTCCCTGAACCCAACTTGGGTCTGAAATGCTGTATACTGTCCAGCACCTTGGGACGTCCTCCCGACATGAAAGGCGCTATACAAATGTAATGTTGTTGTTGCCTTAGCACATTGAAGCACCTCACTGTGTTTCACAAGGTTTTCTATAAATTGTAGTGACTGTCTGTTCGAATGTTAGCCAATTTGTACAAAGAAATGTCCCACCAATAGCTAGGAGGTAAATGACCAATTAGCTGGAGAATTGCGAGCCAGGTCACTTACAGAAACTATCTTTTTGAATTGTCATGGGATCTTTCATGTTGTTGAGAACTTTAATGTCCATCTGAAAAGCCAATTGGGCTTTGGTTTAAATGGCTCATCTGAAAGACAGTGCCTCCAATGCTCCGTCTCTCTCAACGGCAGTGTCAGTATGGAGTATGAGCTCATAGTCCCCAATACGGGACTTGAACCTAAAACCTTCTGAAAACAAGATATTACATATACAAAGATTATAGGAGAAAAATAAAAAAAATTAAGTCAGAATGCAACATGATGGAGCAGATAGTGACTCAATATCCGAAGAGATTTCAAGTTTGAAATGAAAGAAGTGAGAAAATTCAGTACCTCTTCCTAAAACTCCGAATGACCTCAACAAATTATCATATTAAAAGCTTAAGTCTTGTTCCCATGCACAAAAAAACTCAATATCTGTAAACAACCTATGATGTAAAGGGGAGAAATGCAGTTTGTAATGTGATAATTAACATCACTTATTGCAGATTCCCCCCAAAACTAAAGTCCAAAGCTAAAGTCCTGTAGCTCAGTGGTTAGAGCACTCGCTTTACAAGCGAGAGACCTGAGTTCAATTCCAGGCAGGGCGAAACCTTGGGCAAGTTTCCTTACTCCACACACCTAATAATAATCCCTCCAAAAAAACCAAAACAATAATAAATTGGTCATTTTCAATCTACGACTGTTTGTGGGACATTGCTGTGCGCAATTGGCTGCCGCGTTCGCCCACAAATATACAGTCAATTTACTTTACAGTGTGTTCTGTGAAGCGCTTTGGGACGTCCTCCCGACGTGAAAAGCGCTATATCAAATGCAAGGATTATTATTATTATTTATTAAAACAGATAACTAAGAGTATAATAATAATCCTTGCATTTAATATAGTGCCTTATCACATTTTTCAAACGCTTCACAGAATATATTGTAAAGTGAATAGACCCTATACAATAAAGGTTGAAGGTGCTCCTTATAAGTACAGTACAGTATATTTCCATTGTCACTATACAACCCACTGCATTCCTCTTAGTGTATATTACAGTCATATATTTCTTAATATTTTGTACCTGCAGGAATCTGGGTCAAATATTTTCTGTTTCCGGAAACACGTTTCATGATTTTCTATGTCTCTGCAAACACAATCACACATATCCTCATCAAACTGCCTATAGGGTCCGCAGAGAGCCAGTTCCGCAATCGGAGAAAGTTCTAGATAAAAAGAACAAGGTGTTTTAAAAGATGCAACTCATTTTGAATTCATGTTCTGTGTATAAAATCCGAGCTAATTTGAAAGCACAGGAATTCTCACCACCTTGCCTTCGGTCCAAGGAAGTCACACAGTGGCATTTTTGCTTATCCCACACTTGTCTTGTGGAGCATTTACTATCAGAGTGTGAACAGCTGCAAAGGACAACATCAGAGGGTGAATTGACTGTAGTTATTACTGTTAGTATGTACATGTTGCTAAGTATAAGATAGTCTACTACATACTTTCTTCTGATTCACCTTCCAAATGTGTAATATCAATATCTCAATATTATTTTTTTATATAGACGTTATTGGGTCTTGTGATTAACCTATCAAACAGAAGAACCTAGGCATCCCCTGATAACTGGTAAATAAAGGCATTGACCATGAAGAGTCAAAGGAGACTTGACTTACCTGTCTTCATAATGTGTAAGAATTGATCTTCTGATGATAGAGTACGTATGTCGGCTGGAGATACATCTACAAGCCGTGTGGTTAGCAACTCTGATTGTCACTGGCTCTGGTACATTGGTCAGGGGGATAGCTATTTCAAACAGCTAGAAATACAGTAGAGTAGAAAAATTAGTAACACCATTATTTAGATTTTTTTGCCTTAAACTAATTCCTCTTCTACTTTCTCTCCTGGGCAGAAGGTGAGTGGGATATGAGGAGATCAGAGAGACATGGCAAGCTGGGGCATGAAGGCAGTATGTGAGAGTGAAGACCTTGAAATGAATCCATTCATAAACAGCACCAGTGGATTTAAGCACTGTTGGGAGAAAATTCCATCTGAGTCTAGACTTACTCTATTCATATTGCATCTTAGAGCATTCAGAAATTGGCAAATTTCTAAATATAGCCAGAACTTTGAAGCTGTTTTTCTGCATCTTCTTTTAGGAACTACAGAAAACTCACTGTAAAACTCTATCCCTCCGCCTCCCTCTCTCTATCTATCTTCAAAGCCCACCTTAAACTTATTCCATCTGTCATCTGTGAGACTTCAGCTCCAGAGTTTCACAAGACTTCATGCAATACATAGGCTTTGCTCCCAGGCTATCTCAGATTAGAGCATAGTTCTGCTCTAAGTCAGATTAATGCGGGGTTCCCTGCAGGAAACATAGTTTACATCCCAGGCAATTTTCCCAATGAATTCGCTATTTACTCTGCAGTTTCAATCCAATAAATGGTGTTTAGCCAGTTCTTTTCTCTTTCCAATTTCCTTTGTCAATTTTCTTCCCTCTCCCGTCTTCAGAAGTCATCTACTTCCTATTATTGGGCTATGATTCAATAGGCACTGGTTGCCCTCCATTATCTTGCCCACGAGTCACTATTCAAATGTAAAGCTTGATAGTGAGTCCTGGGGATGGGGGGGGCATCTAGACAAAGGTACATCTAGTTCGCCTTCTACCATCCTAGTTGTCGCATGCTACAATAATGGAGTTGTTGATAGTAATTAATTCAGTATGGATTAGTCTACAATAGAGTGGAAAGCTTTTGGCTCTTAGATCCAAAGTTGCCCGGTTCTTCCAAGCATACTACACTTACTATATGTCATTTCTCAAATTACTCATACACTGTATCCCAAATACTATTTTCTAAAATAAATTTGCATTAGAATGAATGGACACTTTCCGTTTCCACCGTCTCTCTAGGGAATCTGTTCCAAAGATTTACCACTCATTCACTGAAATGTTTCTGCAGATTAGTTTTGAAAATAGTGTTTCCGCAGATTAGTTTTGACGAATCTATGGATAAACTAAGGATATTGTTATAAATTCTTATGAGCGAGGATATTCTTTCAAATTTAGTTAAATCAATTGAGAAAACTGATGGGAGTAAATCTGTTTCGAAAGGCTAGCACAGCTTCTTCTCAAATTTATCAATCAATTTTGCAATGTCAATAAGACATTTTACTTTCTTTTTTGAAAAAAACAAAAGGAAAATAAAGACTACACAGAAAAGGCAAAGATGTTGCAGACACCGCTTTGCTGATGTAGGATGTGCTGATATTCTTGCAGACCAGACCCTCTTCATTGCAGCATCCGCCACATCTGTACACAGACACACAGGGAGGTTTGAAGAATGTGTTTGTGCTTCTTCCAAGTTCTTTAGCAACATCAACACACGATTCCCTGGGGACACACTGAGTCTTCTGCCATTCATCATCAATGGCTACATTGAAAAAGAAAATAAATGGAAAATATGCTGTGAATTAAACTCCACCCGTTTACTGCAAGTATATAAACACTGCAAAGCGTGAGGCAAGCATTGAACAAGTTTTAAAACACTTACATTTGAGAATTTCTGTATCGTAATAAGGAGAAGCAAACCGGGTGGATCGTGATCGCGTGTCAAAGCCAGCCAGATATCTTAGTTTCTGACGGCACTTCCACAGTTTGCAATCTAGTGAGTTAAAGATTGACAGTAGCTCCCTTACGTTGGAGGCAGATCTGATTTGCTGCTCTAAACTCGCTTTGCTCTGCTTCTGAAATGAAGAGATGAAACTGTAACCAGAATGTTGCAGAAAAATTAATTCCGTTCAGCACCTGAATGGCTGAATAACTTGCAATGTTATTCTGAAATGTTAATGTAAATGTAAAAGAAATACGTTAAAAACAAGATCCATTTGCAACTTTAGCTTTTCACACATGATTTACAGCAGAATTACATTCGGCCTAAATTAGTCCATGTCGGCTTTTGTACTCCATCAGTTCACTCCAAATAAGGTATGCTTGAAATGGGATTAGCTCATTTTATAATTTGCTCCATTTGGTGATCAAAGCAAAATGACCTTCAATAATGTTTCTTTTAATTCTGAGTCCTATCAATTATTTATGATAAGTCCTACTCACTGAAGAAATTATTGTCCATCATGTGCTCCAAGAAGTGAATTAGCTGCTGGGGGTTGAGTGCTATTCTTCTCTGTTGGTAAATTTGTCTCCATGAGTCTACAAGTAACTGCGATGCAGTTTTAAATGAATAATTTAACACAAAATTTCTTGAAGTGCTGTGGACTTGCTTGACTTAGGAACTGTATTACGAGGACCGCCACAGAAGATTAACTCGATCTGACATTCCATTGCCAAGCACGCCACCTAGGAAGCAGCTCAACCCTAAGGATACTCCCCCCCCACCCCCCATAGGATAGTTCTTGTATGTTGAGATATTGAGTTATCTGGCTGGGAGATAATTGTCAGTGGTGAGCCAAAGATCTATATTGGAAACACTCTATAGCTTTTAAAGTCTTAAGAACAAGATTTTCAGGTTTGTTAATTGAATAAATTAGCACACTTTGCCTCTCATTCAGTTTAAGATATCCTGATCCAAACTTTTGTAAAAAATACAATAAAAAAAAGAGAGCACCGAAGGAATGAGGCCAGATTGTTGCTGTTTCACAAGTCTTAGTAAACAGGTAATAAAAAATAATCACTCATGACGATGAACCAGAGAAATCAGAGAGCTAGTTTGTTGGATTGTTCATCGATGATTTGTTTTACTGCTGTTTTGTTGTATGCTCATGCATTTTCCAATTCTTTGTCCAGTTTCTCTGCAACAGTTTCTCACTTATGATAATTATGGGGATGGGGATTGGGAAAAGTCACTGAATAAGATTTTCCAGATGGAAACAAAAGAAAAAAAACATACAAATTAAAGTAGAAATGCTAAAAATCCAGGTCAAATTCAGTATTTGAAAACAGAACATGTTAACATTTGGGATAGCTCTCTTAAACAGGGATGAGTTTTTAAATGTTAAATCGAGTTCTCCCTTTCAGATGTTAGTTGATCTGCTGTGGATTAACAGAATTTCTTTTTTTAGCTTTACCAGTTCTTACCAATGTCAGGAAACCTGTTAACTATTATAGAATTGCCTCCTGCAGATAAAATGTGCATATAATTGGTTGGGAAAAGATATTTCAATCTTTACCACGTTGAGTTGGCTGCCTCTTGATCATTGAGTCATGTTAGAGTTTATGAGCTTGCAGCACAGAATTTCCCCTCTGCCTGAAACCTGCTAGTTGGGGATACCTTTGCTACCAATATTGGTACTGGTACAATGGCTTTGGTACTTTCTGAATCACACAGATTCTGGATGATGATTTGGAATATTCATTCAAGTCCAATGGTTAAATATTTAGCTGATCTAAAGCAGCAGAGGGCACCAGAGGCTACAAATTGGTCATAATTACTGTCTACTCCAATACTACCTAATATGAAAATTTCACTCCGTTAACTATTGCCATTGTTATTTAAACTTTACAGGCTGCAAACATAATACATACTTCAGAAGTGGATTAATTTACACTCAGTTTTTATTTTACAAATGTTAATTTGTTAATAGTTTAATGGTTAATGGTTTATCTAAATGGGTCAGTTTAGTGCCAGATTATTCATGAATCGAGACATTCCTTAAATTACTTCTGTTATTGTGGTAATATTCTTATATTTGATACCATGCTGTGGGATCTACAAAAAGCAATAACCATGAACTAATACTGCAAATGAATCATTTTACTGTTATGTTCACATTACAAATATTGATAGTTGGGAAAATGTTGTAAATTATTTCAAGTGCATTCTATATACTACATATGGAGAATATACCATGATAAACTTGCTATTATTTCACTGGAAAACAAATAACACAGGTTTGTGAACTCCACCAAGTGGAGCTATATGAAAAAACACATGAAATGAAATATTTAGAAAATTTAGTGGCACACTGACCTTTCACTTTCAGTTCTAGATTTGAATCCAGCCCAGTTGTGGTAGTCTCAACCCAATTATTATTGGACAGTCTGTATAGCAAGATTGGCTACAATTCAGGAGAAGCATGCAATCTCATTCAGTTATAAATGCAATCTTTTACATCAATAGCATCGCAATATCTTACAACTGAGATGATTCCTTCAAGTTAATTTCAGTTTTAATCAGCCTGGAAAAGTGACAATAAAGGCTGTCTAAGGGAATAACAGGCACTCAATACTGAACATTGCTGAAATTCCTACGACAATATTTTAAAATGAACACCTTTGCAAAACTCTACAAATAATGCAGCAACCTTTAATGCTGACTATTATTGCAAATTAAGAACATACGAAAGTATGGATTTGAAAAGGTCATGCAATTGAAAAATGAGACAACAAAAAGGCAAGCAGTAATAGCGAGTCATAGCTACAGATAACTTGCTCCTTTTAAAGATCATTCCCTGGCATAACTCATCATCTGACCAGTAGAAATTGGCCATTGTTATGACCATTTTACTTAGCTATTACTAAGTAACAGGGGTGGAGCAACAACCACTTACATTTATATAGTGTCCTTCATGTAGGGTAACGTCTCAGAGTGATTTACAGTGATTGGGGCAGACACCGAGCAGAGGAAGTGGGGAGAGGAAGGAAGGCGGAGATACCCTTAGGTGTGATCGAAGAGATAGTTTTGAGGCGTGATGAGGACAGAGATGGAGGGCTAAAGAGAGAAAGTACCAGAGTTTAGGGAGGTAAAAAAGGGAAAGGGATCTGCAGCAAGTACGACTTAGCTGAGCAAAGAGAGCGAGCAGAGGTAGGAGGAGATCAGAGAGATAGAGAGATGTTAAGGCATGAAGGGATGTGTCGGTGAGGGTGCAGACCTTAAAAGTTGATCTCCTGGGAGAGGGACACAGTGGAACCTGAAGAGGATTGAAGTAATCACTTGGAATTGGGGCAAGTGAGCGTGCGGACAGTGGAGTTTTGGATAACGGATGGAGGAGCTAGGAAGACCAGCAAGATGTCTTCTGCATTTCAGAAGTCCAGATGACTTGATGAACAGGGGACCAAGGCTTTAAGATGAAAATGTTTTACTTTTCAATGTTATAGTTCAACTAACAGCTATTCTGTGGAGTCCTGCAGCTCAGTGGTTAGAGCACTCGCCTCACAAGCGAGAGTCCTGGGTTCGATTTCCAGCAGGGCAAAATGTTGGGCGAGTTTCCCTACTCTACACGTCTCTGTTTACCAGGCAGTAAGTAGGAACCCAGTTGTTAGTCGATTGGCGGACCACTTTTCTGGGGTAATAATTCCTCCAGAGAAAAAATAATAATAAATTGTCCACTTCAATCCATAGTGGGACACTTATTGTGCACAATTGGCTGCTGGGTTTCGTCCACAAAATATACAGTCAATTCACTTTACAGTATATTCTGTGAAGTGCTTTGAGACGTCGCGAAGACATGATAAGGTGCTATATCAGATAGGATTATTATTATTACTATCTGAAGAAAGCAACATGAGTTTCAGGGCTATAGTTCATTCACTTGCATCAAGTAAGTGTTTCTCACATTATATACAACGCTTGCAAAATACAAACAACTTATTTTTGATGAAGCCAGTGCTTAATTATTTGGCCTGATTTACAGTGCTTATATGCAAAAGTACATTTAAAACATAATATTACTAGCCAAATAAGCCAAATATTTAAGTCAAATAATGAGCATATCTTTCAATGGTTTGAAGAACACAGAAATTTCGATTTAACCCATAAGTGGAGCTTCAAGTAGTTCAACAGGCCTTTGACAAACTTATGCAACATTTAAGTCTCTACTAGGAAGCTTAACTGTGAAACATTTACTGATGTAAAGTTTTATTATAGTTTTGGGTGAGGGGGGACCTCTGTGCCATTGGAAGGATGAGGAAAGCAGCTACAGTATTAGTCAGTTTAGAGCAATAGCTATAGTAATTGAAAGCTGATGCTGGTGTGCTTGTTGTGGGTTACAGGAATTTTAAAGTGATCCCAGTGCCTACAGGTTTTTCCGCAGGACTTCAAAACACACTGAGATATAAGACAAGTGGCTGTTCTTACACGGTACCTTCCCTCCTCTACAATCAATGCAATTGCATTTCAATAGCAAGGGGACAGAAACTTCTTTTTTAAAACAAAGTTTGCAATGAACGTAATCACTGCATGTTCTGGACCAGATATAGTACATACTTTGTGCAATGACTGTGTTGTCAAAGGAGTCCCCCCATTGTGATGATGAAGGAATGATCAGTCCAAGCTGTTTTTCAGACAGAAAGTGCTGCAG